TTCAGGAAGAGGTTATAGAAGTTGTTCTGCAGAGGTTTTTGGCTTCCGCACCTCTAAGATTATACTGTTTATTGCTAAGAAGCATGTGTGAAAATCCCCTACTCTGGGCCACATGATGGCGCTTTTAGCTCTGTCAGCATTAACCATTCACCCCAATTTCATCTTTTAAATCAAAATTTGAATCTAAACATTTGCCCTTCCTTCTCAGCTTTAACTCCTGATTTTTTAATGTTACAATTCAAGAAATTTCCCTCCTTCAACAACGTCAGAGCCTACAGTCAACCAAACAGGATTTATAAATGTAACTATATGACTACCTAAACAAGCATACCGTCTCAGAGGAACAAAACTGTATGTGGTCTGTTTCTGGCCACCAAGTGGGTGAAAAATTTCTAACTCACAACATGAGAAGCATCATACTGCGTCATGGTCAATGTTTTGTCTCTGACAGAGCATCAGGAGACATTTTGTGTAAAGCATTGCTGTTATTCATGACATTAAAGATATACTCCAGATATTTTTACCTTAATAACGAAAATGAAGACCCTTTTTGACTCCAAAGCCTCAACAGAAGTATGGAGCTAGAATTCATGAATTTGTCTAACTTTTTCTTAAATTGATTTATAGGTTTTTACCAAAGAGGTAGTGAGTTTATTATGGTACAAAATAGTATCTTATAGTAAATTTTACTAGTTTTTAGTATTTTAGAATCTGGTGAATAAATTTATATTAGCTTTCACAATAATGTAAGAAAAAACAAATTGAGTTAAATTGTCAAATTGAATATTCTATTTCCAAATGGTATGTAAGACCATGGTGTCCCTAAAGATGTAAACTTCAAGTTGTTCTGGACATACTATAAAATATAAAATATTCTTGGTTGGGCTTCCCTGGTGGCGTAGTGGTTGAGAGTCCGCCTGCCGATGCAGGGCACACGGGTTCGTGCCCCAGTCTGGGAAGATCCCACATGCCGCGGAGCGGCTGGGCCCGTGAGCCATGGCCGCTGAGCCTGTGCATCCGGAGCCTGTGCTCCGCAACGGGAGAGGCCACAACAGTGAGAGGCCCGCGTGCCGCCAAAAAAAAAAAAAAAAAAATTCTTGCTTTTTCTTCATAATTTAAAAACTTTAATTCAATCCTTTATCAGTCTTTATCTTTTACAGACTGAAGAGTTCAAATTTATTTAGTCAGTAATTTGTATTCTAATACTGTATTCTGTACCCTTAAATGAGACAGACTTCTCTACAAGGTAGTATAAATTTCCCTAGGCTTATACTGATCATTTTAATTTTCATCATTTTTATCAATGAGACATTTCCTTATCTAGAAAACTTTCACTATAGCAGCACTGACTGACTTAGAATTGTAAAACATTAGAACTAAAGGGAACTAAGGTTAAATGCAACTTTCTACTTACCAATGAGGAAAATAAGATTCAGCGCTGGTAACAGACTTTCTTACACTAAAACAACTAAAAATCTAAGCTAGATCCAACAAAACAGTGCTCTTAAAACTACAGATCGGGGGCTTCCCTGGTGGCACAGTGGTTAAGAATCCGCCTGCCAATGCAGGGGACATGGGTTCTATCCCTGGTCTGGGAAGATCCCACATGCCGCAGAGCAGCTAAGCCCAAGCGCCACAACTACTGAGCCTGCATGCCACAACCACTGAAGCTGGTGCGCCTAGAGCTCGTGCTCCACAATAAGAAGCCTGCACACTGCAATGAAGAGCATCCCCCACTCGCCACAACTAGAGAAAGCCCACGTGCAGCAAAGAAGACCAAATGCAGCCAAACATAAAATAAATAAAATAAATTTATACAAACAAACAAACAAACAAACACTACAGATCAGGACCAACCAATTAAGGGGGTTGCTACCAGCATTTCAAAAAAGCAACAGAGTAGAAAATATCAGAGGCTTTTCATGTAGTGAGGATAAAAACTGTTTCCTAAAACTTTTGCTTCAGTTCTATGTATGTGGTGGATAATGTAAAATGCATTTATTACAGTGGTCAAAAATTTTGGAAATCATTCATGGATACAGAGAACAAACAAATGTCGATGAAATAGGTGAAGGGTAGATTAAGAGGTACAAACCTCCAGTTATAAAATAAAGAAGCCATAGAGATGTGAAGTATAGCATGAGGAATATGTTCAATAATATTGTAATAACTTTGTATGGAGACAGATGGTTAACAGACTTATTGTGGTGATCATTACATAACGTATGAAAATGTCAAATCACCATGTAGTATACCTGAAACTAATATAATACTATATGTCAACTATATTTCAATTAAAGAAAGATTTTGCAAGTCATTACAATAAAATAACTAATTCTATGAGTGAATTTTAAAATTTATTCTTATTTTTAAATTATAATAAAAATAGTAATATTAATAAAATTATAACTTAATATTATGATGGTGATATAGCTTATTATTTATTACAACTCACTCTAAGCTAATAAAAATATCTCTGCATTAAATACTTAATGCTGCCATCTAAAAAAAAAGCCATTTTTCCCCTTTAAAAGAAGATAGGTTACAAATGTTATACCCCATACTATATGTGAACAGACTTTCTTTAAAATACCACATTTCTGTAGAGCTTATATGTACAATAGCTAGACAAGCTTTTTAAACGAATACTGAATTCCAGAATTCTGATCATTAGCACACATAAAAATATCAAACATTCTCTGTGAAAACACAGTGACCTCTAGTGGATTAGATAAACTGACATAATCCTTGCCCCTAAGAATTTAGAAATTAAGGTAACACTGACGCATCCAGATATGAAAAATACTGACATGGTTATTATATACAGACAAGTATTATACATAAATAAGGGCTATAGTTACACTATGTACAATGTGACAATTGTATATTTATAGATTACTCACTGGTTACTTCCAATCAAGAGGAATATGATGAAAGAATCCTAGCCTTGTTCAGAATCTATCACTAGCTTAAGAAATACACTTAGTCTTTCTGAGCTTGTTTGATAATAAGGTTGGATTAAATTTTCTCTAAGGACCCTTTCAGTTCTTTCATTATGATCCTCTCTTTAATTCATCTTATACACCAATGCCAAACTAAATTCTATTCAAAAACACTTGATATCTCCCCAGGACTTGAAGATATACCAAACTTAGCTTGGCTCCTTGATACGTATCATTATTTTCTATTTTTTTCCCAAACATATCCCTTATTTCAAGTGAGCTAATGTTCTCACTATCTACTTCCAATACCAACCTATTCCTATGAGTTTATTTTCTCACTTCTGCTTACAGTTTTTCATTATGCAATGCTTTATCCTCACTAACTTACATTACAGGTTCCCATTAGAATAAGTACAAACTTGTTTCACTCATGTGTATTTGTTTTGTCATCCCAATGAGATTTAAATTTAAACTCACAGGTTGGTTTTTACACATGTGTAGCCTGCTGGGTAGTAAGAGCATGCTATACACTTTAAATGTAAATTAAATTGATTAGTTTAGGGAAACCAAGGTCATTTTCGTCTTTCTTTTTTAAGTGAGGTAAGAAAGGGCATATAGATACGGTAGAATTTCAAGAACTACAAATATAAAATGACAGAGCTTCATGCTTTGGGAAAAAGTGGGCATTCTTAAGAGAGCATGGTAAGATTTTGGGAAAAGGTTAGAGGGAAGAACTGTTTTAAATTAGCTGAAGGAAGTACCAATAACTATATCTGAAGAAAACAGAGATGACAGCAAAGGTGCTTTGATAAATGGTTTTGAAGCAGATATGAGTATGGGCTAAATGAGAGAGCTAACTTCAAGAAGTAGAGATCTCTGGAAGCAAAGTTAAGAACAACTCAAGGAAACACCAGTCTTAACACTGGGAAATGGAATATGTCACTGTCATTAGGACTGAGGAGATAATGGGCAGCGCTGGTGAAAGAAATGTTAAGGAAAGAGAAAAAGTGATAGTTAGAAAGGTGCTCTTAACTTCCCAGTCACTTTGGACAATGCTACAATCTTTTATCCTCCAAACAAGAAAGTTGGATAGGCTGCTAGAGAAATGATGAGCAATTTAGTCTCCATTATGTTGAATTCAATTAACAAAGGCCATACTGTAGTATATTTTACATATTCTGAACCACACAAAATTGGAGCAGCAGGCAAAGGTGTCTGCAAAGGTACTGCCATCAGTAAAATTAATGCTAGTTGAACATAGTGTCACGTTACTTGTGTATCAAATAAGACTTTAAGTTTATTTAGCATAGATCCTATTTTACCCCAAATAACCCTGCCTTGTGTTGTTACAATATTCTCTATCAAACATGAATTACTTGAGACTTTATCTCATTAATTTAAGCCTTTGTTTGGAATTTCTAGACAATACAGTTCAGTTACATAAGAATAATTTTTGTTACTTTTTTAATATTATGTAATTTTCCCCTCAGTAACAAATTCTCTTTCAAATTCAGCAACTAATAAAATGTTATAAATGTTTAAACATTTCTCACAAGGCAAAATCCCAGGAATGTCTATAAACTTTTTTGCTAAAAATGACTCTAAATTGGCTTTCTTTAAATTTATATTGTACCGATTTTTAATACAGATTAAATAAATTAGTAACCTGAACTTTTTAACATTAGTATATAGTTTCTTAACAACAAAGTGAGTTCAGTTGGATCCCAAAATCCAGTACCTTCTGAAAAAATTTATAATTCTTATCCCAGGATTATATTAACAGAATTAATAGAAATAACTATCACAATAGGAAGCAAAGTTCAGATTTTATGCTTAAAGCTAAAACAGCAAACACATAACATTTGTATGTATTAATTTTCTGATTTTAAGTGTAAAATCCTCAAAAGCTCTGCTTGAAATATAACCATTTCCCCACAATTAAAATGTGTACAGTAAATGCATTCCAAAGAAAACTATACCTACTTTTTGCATATTTCAAAAAATAGAAAGAAATTATTAGAATTTATGAACAAATGTATACATAATGATTTAAATTACCTTTCTTCTTCTCGAACCCACACTGGAGTTTTAGGAATTTGTGCTTCGAAAAATTTCGATGCTTTATAACAAAAATTGCTGCAAAAACACTGAAAAGAACATTTTAAGACTAGGAAATTATTTTTTTCTTATTGTGAAATACAACTTATGTACAGAAGAGAATATAAAACATAAATATGTAGTTCACAGAAAAAAACGAAAACCCATGAATCTACCACCCAAGGTAAGAAGTAAGATTTAGTACCTCTGAAGGCTTCTATGTATCCCTCCCCAATGGTATCACTCTCCACACTCCCCAGAGGTAACCACTATTATAAATTTTGTGTTATTCATTCTTTTGCTTTCTTTTAGTGTTGCTACTTACATACATATCCTATAAAATATATCATTCGGTTTTGCCTATTTTTAAACTCTGTCTAAATGGAATCATATTGTTATGTATTCTTGTATTCTTCTGTTCCATATTATGTTTTTTAGACTCCTTTGTGTAGCTATAGCTTATTCATTTACACTGTGTATTATATTCCATTGCCTAAGTATACTGCCTTTTAGTTACTATTTAAGGACAGTTGAGTTGTTTGTAATTTTTTGTTATCATTACAATGTTACTATGCACCTTCTTTTAATAACAATTTTTTAAATTAAAAAATTGTGGTATAATACACAAAATTTACCATCTTAAGCATTTTTAAGTATATAGTTCAGTGGCATTAAGTACCTTCTTACTGTTTTGCAACCATCACCAACATCTAGCTCCAGAACTCTTTTCATCTTGCAAAACTGAAACTCCACACCCATTAAACCATAAGTCCCCTTTTCCACCTCCTCTGACAAAAACCACTCTACTTTCTGTCTCTATAAATTTGACTACTCTAATTACCTCATATAAGTAGAACCATATAATACTTTTCTTTTTGTGCTGGCTTATCTCACTTAGGATAACGTCTTCAAAGTACATTCAGTTGTAGCTTGTGTCAGAATTTCCTTCCTTTTCAAGGTCAAATAATTATTCCATTCTATGTATGTACCATATTTTGTTTATCCTACTAGGAACATTTATACACATATATACTTGTGCACATGGGCAAGGATTTATACCAAAGAATAGAAAGAATGGTCACAAAGAATGCGTAAATTTGACTTTGCCAAACAGTTGCTCAAAAAGGTTGTACCAATTTTTATTTGACTTGCAGTATACAGAGTTACTAATGCTGTCAGGTTTTTATAATTTTGCTAATTTGGGGACTGTAAAAATGTAACTCAATGTGTTTTCATTTGCTATTTTCCTGATTACCGATAAGGCTGAGCATCTTTTCATATATTCATTAGCCATTCAAGTTCCTTCCGTAAAATTTTTTTAATTAAGTCTTTGTCTTTTTCTTATAGATGACGTACTCTGGTTAGGAATCTATGGGCAGTTACATGTGAGAAATATAACTCCTTCTGATTTGTAGCTTATCTTTTCACTCTCTTTTTAAAGAAACTTCTAATGAGCAAATGTTTTCTATTTTAATGTAAAAAAATGTATCAATTTTTCCTCTATGGTCTATAGTTTTCTATCTTATTTAAGAAATTCTCTCTAGTCCAAGTTTATAAAGATATTCTCTCATACTGTCTTTGAAAAGGTATCTCTTTTACATTTAGGTCCTTAATCTACCTAAAATTGATCTTTGTATGTACACTGAAATAGGTGTCAGTTTTCATTATTTCCATATGGATAACTAATCATGCCAGTACAATTTATTAAAAAAAAATCCATCCTTTCTCCACTGATCTAAAATACTCCTGATGTCATATGTCCAGTGTCCACATAAGCAGTGAGTCTGTTTCTGGCGCTCTACTCTGTCCTATGATTCACTCGCCTGAATTTGTGCCAATATGCATTTTTAATTTTTAAAAGTTCACATATTAAGTAAAGTGTAAGCAAAGAGGTTTTTTTTAAACACCTTGAATGAAATATTTATAAATGAAAAACTTTTAACATGGCTATTTTCTAAAAGGCAAGATTTTAAACAGATATTTTTAGAATTCCATTTAGTATAATATTAAAAATTGACTGCCACATTGAAAATAGCCTTTAAACTTACCTTTCTTTCAGTAATATCATAGACTTTATTGGTTTTGGTAGAAATTTTATATTTCTGTTTTGGTACCTAAAGAAAAGAACATATAGCTTACAAAAGAATTCAAATAATAAACATGAACTTTACAGTTAACAAGAGTAAGTCATCTACATATCATATCTTTGGCTAACCCACATCATTAGTTCATGACCTGTTTCATTTATTGTTCTTTCTACACAGTATTTTGCTAAATATAAAAATTAAAAGTCTACATGTTAAAAAAAAAGTAGTTACTTACAATTCCTAGCTTCTTCCAACATAAGGGATAGCCACAGAGTTTGATAATAGAACGCTCATCCACGACATCACTATAATGAGCAGGTGTGATGAACTTCCCCTATAAAGAAATGAGAGGGGCATTTCCCCCACCAGATTATTGGAAAAGTTTATTTATCAGCTCTTTAAGCTTTACTGATCTCATTTGAAAACACAGGGATCATAACAGTACCTATCTCATAGGTTTGATGTTAGAATCAGAAGAGAAAATAAAGGAAAAGTACTCAAAAAGCGCTTCTTGACACATACTAAGTACTCAGAAAATGTTAGCTATTATTAAAAAAAAAAAACCCACAAAGCCCAAAAAATTTCTGCCATGGTAGACTGTGCATCCCTGTAGATTATACAATTCATGAAAGGAGGAAGAAGTGATGCTACAGTGACTGCTATATCAAAGGAAAATATTGATAGTATATTTTATTTTAAAAAAGTATTACTTGGGACTTCCCTGGTGGCACAGTGGTTAAGAATCTGCCTGCCAATGCAGGGGACACCAGTTCGAGCCCTGGCCCAGGAAGATTCCACATGCCACGGAGCAACTAAGCCCACGAGCCACAACTACTGAAGCCCGTGCGCCTAGAGCCCGTGCTCCACAACAAGAGAAGCCAGCGCACCATAACGAAGAGCAGCCCCGCATTCGCTGCAACTAGAGAAAGCCCGTGTGCAGCAACAAAGACCCAACACAGTCAAAAACAATTAAATAATAATAAAAAAAGTATTACTCAAAAATAAACCAAATAAAATAATAGGATATAATTTAACCTATTTCTTAAAGCACAATCTCAAAAACAAAGTATACTAAAGGTGTCATTGTGATTCCTGAACAAATTTTTGTGCAAAATCTTCTATCTTCTGAAAAGAACAGTGAGGTGATAGTTATAAGCTAATGCCAGATATTTTCCTTTGACGTTTTCATGTTGAAATAATCTCAGTTCTTGAGACAAACCATTTCTGGTCTGTCTTTGTCTTTAAAGTCATCAAGTATGGAGATTCTGATGCAGTTACCTATATGAATTTAAATACTGTCATATTTATATTCCTCTTGTTTAGGAAAATCTCTAAGCCACACTAAGAATTATTTCTGCAATAAAATTTCTGAGCTTTAATTTTCCATTTCTTTTTTCTCTTAAGGATTATGAGGATATAACAGACATTTCCATTCAAGTTTTTAATGCAATAAGCCATTAAAGAAAACAAAAAAAGTTTTTTAATGCAGATGATAATTCTCTTATGTGTTAAACTATAAATGGTCTATATTTCAGGTTTTTAAAATATCAAAATTAATGAAATTACATTAACAAAAATAACGATCTTCCATTACTAAAATAGGATAACATACAGAATATGAAAAGTGACATGGGGATCAGCAGTGCAAAGCAATGAAAATCGGTTGAGATTAGCAGACTGGTTAAAAGAACTAGCACGAAGGGGTAAAACATGCATGTTATCTCTCTTTAGTGCATTTTAAAGTCACTATAAAACAAGGAATGCATAATAGTTGATTATTTTTAAATGCATAAATTCTATAGCATGTAGCTGACAATAGATTCAAAGATTTCAATAATGTAAAGAAGTTTCACATTACACATATTTAAAGATCTTATACAACAAAAGTAATAATTTATCAACACATACACACTCCCTTAGGAATTCTTCTGTAATATTCTCTTCTAAAAGCTGTTCAACAATACGTAGAGCTTTTCTCTCAAACTCAATCTTCTTTCTGACAACTGCTTCCAGTTCGGCTTTCCTAAAATTAAAAAAATATGTATTTTTTTTTACATATTATAAAGGTTATAAAGGTTATTCTACTTGTAAGTTTTAGCATAGCTAATTTTCTATATTTTAAAATACAACACTAACAACTTACTATTTTGCTATTTAAGTTAAATGTATATTTTTAAATGCTGTTTCTTTCAATCCAATACTTTTCAAAAAGGAAACAAGCTACTTGTTACACTGCACACATTGATGTCTGCCATAACAACAGGATTATTTGACTTCCAGAGCTCAGAGGACAAGGAAGAACTTAGAGTCTCCTACAGAAAAGAAAATGAGGGGAAATCTTTTTGCCAGTTAGATTTTATACTCAATCACTCCTGTGTGTACCTAAAAATGGAGGTTTTCCCCTGAAATCGTTAGAAATCAGAAGTGACTGGAGAGGTAAAAGAGGATTTCGGCTGTTCTTGTGAGTAAAAATTTCTTTGTGCTAATTCTCAAAAGTTAAGTAGTGGCTGGCCCAGTCTGACAGGACAGAGTCATATTTGCAAAGAAGTATTTACTTACTTTTGTTGTAAAGTCTTATTAAACAACTATATTGATATGACTATATAGTTTAGGAAAACAACAATCTTCCTAGGAGGGCTGGACCTTATCCTCGCACCAGTGGGACTCTGTCAGCCTTTGCTGGCCCCATGAATACACATTATGAATATAAAAGCAGAGGCTATCTGATCAAACAATGGCCCTAGGACAGTGGTTCTCAAGTCTAGCTGCACTTTAGGATCATCTGATGAGATTTTTTAAAAAGATACCATGCTTAGGTCCCACTGCAGGCTAATTAAATCACAATCTTTGAGTACGGGGCCTGGTTACTGGTGTTTTCTTAAGTGTTCCAGATAATCTTAGCGTGTAACAGGGCTGAGAACCACTGCCATGGGACCAAAGATACCAACTATCTTGGTGACTTATTTGCTCCTTTCCTACACTACTTTCTTCTTGCCTACCGGAACATTTGCTGCCCTCTTGGACATTGACTAGGCTCTCATACCTGGACCTAGAATGTATTCACCTTTTCTCCCTTCCTTCACTGATTTCCAAGACTTTAGACTCTAGTTCCTGGCCTGGAGCAATATGTCTTACAAAAACAATTTGGAGAAATGACACAAGATTGCCAGCTGGGGACAAATAGGGACATTAAAACAAGAAGAAACTTGCAATTAACACCTGTTCTCCCACCATTTCAGAAAGACCAATCTTACATCAAATATGTAAAAAAGACATGGACAGAGATTAAAAAACAGTTCTTTGTATTGAATATATATATTCAGCTTTATGACAAACATTATTTTATTTTTCTCATTTTGCTGCCTACCACTAAAAGCTATGTCATATACTAAGATCAGAACAGAATGTACATTAGGAGTTGCTAACTTAAGCAGTTAATCACCTCAACGTGCAGGAACAGCCGCACTCCTTAACTGATGGATACCTACAGCTGTATCCCATGGATAGCCCTGTCTCACTGCTGCTCTCTAACCCAAATGACAGGTAGTGTGGTGTACAGCAGTGGTTCTCAAACTTTTTGGTTTCAGTGCTCCTTTATACTCTTAGCTTTCGCTTATATAGATTATAACTGTTGATACTTACCATACTAGGATTAAAGGTGAGAAAAATTTCAAGCGTTCATTTATTAATTCATTTAATAGGAATGCACCCATTACATTTAACATATTTTTAAAACTCAATTTATTTATTATTTATTTTTGGCTGCACTGGGCCTTTGTTGCTGTGCACGGGCTTTCTCTAGTTGCCGCAAGTGGGGGCTACTGTTCGTTGCGGTGCATGGGCTTCTCACTGCGGTGGCTTCTCTTGTTGCGGAGCATGGGCTCTAGGTGCACGGGCTTCAGTAGTTGTGGCACATGTGCTTAGTAGTTGTGGCTTGCAGGCTCTAGAGCGCAGGCTCAGTAGTTGTGGTGCATGGGCTTAGTTGCTCCGCGGCATGTGAGATCTTCCTGGACCAGGGCTCGAACCCGTGTCCCCTGCATTGGCAGGTGGGTTCTTAACCACTGAGCCACCAGGGAAACGCTTAACATATTTTTAAATGAAAAATTTATTGTGAAGAGGGGAATTGTTTTATATTTTTGCAAAGCTCTTTAATTTCTGGCTTAATACTATTCACCTGGATTGAATGTAGAAGTATTTTTCAGTTGGAATAAATTTATGAAGGATCACTCCTTTCAACAACTAGTTGGCTACCCCAAGGATTTTTAATTGTTTCATCATCCTGCGTGATCTGCTCAAAATACATTTCAGCTTATCTATATTCTTCAAATCATAGTGCTTAGAATAAAATATAATCTCAAGCTTGTGGTCAGATCCATGTTGAAGAGAGTTGCAAATTACATTGTTATAATTATTAACTAAACTTTACTTTTGTATTTGGTTGGCCAAAAGGTTTGTTAGGTTTTTTCCATAAGATGGCTCTAGTAGCACTTAGTTGTCTTTAACTTCATTCGAAACAATTTTGTTAGATTGTATGTGACAGCTGTCATATCAGCTTACGTTAAAAAAAAAAACTTATCAAAATTGGTGAATTTTTGTGTAGCCATTTTAACATTGAAGATGGAAGAAAAAAGCAACGTTTTTGGCATATCATGCTTTATTATTTCAAGAAAGGTAAAAACACAACTGAAACGCAAAAAGATTTGTGCAGTGTACGGAGAAGGTGCTGGGACTGATCAAACGTGTCAAAAGTGGTTTGAGAAGTTTCGTGCTAGAGATTTCTCACTGGATGATGCTCCACAGTTGGGTGGACCAGTTGAAGTTGACAGCAATCAAATTGAAACAATAATTGAGAACAATCAACATTATACCACTCGGGAGATAGAAGATACACTCAAAATATCCAAATCAAGCCTTGAAAATCATTTGCACCAGCTTGGTTATGTGAATTGCTTTGATGTTTGGGTTCCACATAAGTTAAGTGAAAAAAACCTTCTTGACCAGAACTTCCCTGGTGGCGCAGTGGTTAAGAATCCGCCTGCCAATGCAGGGGACACAGGTTCGAGCCCTTGGTCCGGGAAGATCCCACATGCTGCGCAGCAACTAAGCCTGTGCACCACAACTACTGAGCCTGCGCTCTACAGCCCGCAAGCCACAACTATTGAAGCCTGTGTGCCGAGAGGCCGTGCTCCACAACAAGAGAAGCCACTGCAATGAGCAGCCCGTGCACCACAGCAAAGAGTAGCCTCTGCTCACCGCAATTAGAGAAAGGCCGTGCACAGCAATGAAGACCCAACACAGCCAAAAATAAATTAAAAAAAAAAAATACCCTTCAGAAAAACAAAAAAAACCCTTCTTGACTGTATTTCCGCATGAGATTCTCAACTGAAACGTAATGAAAACATTCTGTTTGTTTTTTTTTTTTTTTGCGGTACGTGGGCCTCTCACTGTTGTGGCCTCTCCCGCTGCGGAGCACAGGCTCCGGATGCGCAGGCTCAGCGGCCATGGCTCACGGGCCCAGCCGCTCCGCGGCATGTGGGATCTTCCCGGACCGGGGCACGAACCCGTGTCCCCTGCATCGGCAGGCGGACTCTCAACCACTGTGCCACCAGGGAAGCCCAAACGTTCTGTTTTTAAAACAAACTGTGATGGGCAATAAAAAGTGGATACTGTACAACAGTGTGGAATGGAAGGGATCATGGGACAAGTGAAATGAAACCACCACCAACCATACCAAAGGCCGGTCTTCATCCAAAGAAGGTGATGTGTGTATGGTGGGATTGGAAGGGAGTCATCTATTATGAGCTCCTTCCAGAAAACCAATTAATTCCAACAAGTACTGCTCCCAATTAGACCAACTGAAAGCAGCATTCAGAATTAGCCAACAGAAATCTCATCATCTTTCATCAGGATAACACAAGACCGCATGTTTCTTTGATGACCAGGCAAAAACTGTTACAGCTTGGCTGGGAAGTTCTGATTCATCCATCCAATTCACCAGACATTGCACCTTTGGATTTCCATTTATTTCGGGCTTTGCAAAATTCTCTTAATGGAAAAAATTTCAATTCCTTGGAAGACTGTAAAAGGTACCTGGAACAGTTCTTTGCTCAAAAAGATTAAAAGTTTTGGTAAGATGGAATTATGAAGTTGCCTAAAAAAAGGCAGAAGGTAGTGGAACAAAAGGGTGAATAAGATGTTCAATAAAGTTCTTGGTGAAAATGAAAAATGTGTCTTTTATTTTTACTTAAAAAACTGAAGGCACTTTTTGGCCCACCCAATAATATTTCCTAAAGCCAAGTCACTATAATCATGCTGCTCCACAGGAGAATACTCTTCAAAACAGATCTCAAATTTATCTGATTTCTCCACTCCCAAATGATCACTATCCCTAACATCTTACAACTTTTAAAACTTAAATTCTTCTACTTTATTAAAGTTTTCCCATTTGCACTTAGAAAATCTGAATTTCTCACCATGGCCTACCAGGCACTGTTTGAATAGAACCCACCTCTAACCTTTTCCTATGCTGCTTTCTTCCTTTGCTCAGAATGCTGCATACCACCCTCAGCATCTCTTTTTTTTTAAATGACTAAGCTTTTTCTTGTCACACATATTGCCACTTCTGGCTGGCGGTCTCGCCTCACTACTCTTGGTCTGGTAAATGCCTACTTAGCCTTTAGGTCTCAGTTTAATTATTACTTTCTTGGAGAAGCCTTTCCCTGAAAACCTACCACCCTTCCTGCCAACCTCCAGCTTTACTGGACCCCGGTTTCTAGTTCCTCCATCACAGTCTTTTCCTTTATAGCACTTATCATAATTGGTAATTATGTATTTATTTGTGATAATTTAATTGGTATTTCTCTGTTCCACTAGAAAGGAACTGTGTGTATTCTGTTCAAAATCATATCCTCAGGGCCTCTGAAACCACACAACTCCCAGAAGAGAACACAGTCAGAATACTCTTTGACATAAAAAGCCCAGAGATGAACCCAAACACATATGGTCACCTTATCTTTCATAAAGGAGGCAAGAATATACAAGGGAGAAAAGACAGCCTCTTCAATAAGTGGTTCTGGGAAAACTGGACAGCTACATGTAAAAGAATGAAATTAGAACACTCCCTAACACCATACACAAAAACTCAAAATGGATTAAAGACCTAAATGTAAGGCCAGACACTATAAAACTCTTAGAGGAAAACATAGGCAGAACACTCTATGGCATAAATCACAGAAAGATCCTTTTTGACCCACCTCCTAGAGAAATGGAAATAAAAACAAAAATAAACCAATGGGACCTAATGAAACTTAAAAGCTTTTGCACAGCAAAGGAAACCATCAATAAAATGAAAAGACAACCTACTGAATGGGAGAAAATATTTGCAAATGATATGACCAATAAGGGGTTAATACCCAAAAATATATTAACAGCTGATACAACTCAATATAAAACCAAACAAACAACCCAATTAAAAAATGGTCAGAAGACCTGAATAGACATTTTCCCAAGGATATATACATGGCCAACAGGAACATGAAAAACTGCTCACCACTGCTAATCATCAGAGAAATGCAAATCAAAACCACAATGAGATATCACCTCATACCTATCAGAATGGCTATCATCAAAAAGTCTACAAATAACAAATGCTGGCGAGGATGTGGAGAAAAGGGATCCCTCCCATACTGTTGGTGGGAATGTAAATTGGTACAGCCACTATGGAAAGCAGTACAGAGGTTCCCTAAAAAACTGAAACTAAAACTACCATAAGATCCAGCAACTCCACTCCTGGGTATATATCTGAAGAAAATTACAACACTAGTTTGAAAAGATACATGCCCCCCAATGTTCATAGCAGCATTATTTACAATAGCCAAGATATAGAAGCAATCTAAGTGTCTATCAACAGATGAATGGATAAAGATGTGGTTTATACATGCCATGGAATACTACTCAGCCATAAAAAAGAATGAAATTCTGCAATTTGCAACAATGTGGATGTACCCAGAGGGTATCATGCTTAGTGAAATAAGTCAGACAGAAAAAGACAAATATTATGTGAAATCACTTATATAGAGGACAAACTAGTGGTTACCAGTAGGGAGACAGCAGGGGGAGGGGCAAGACTGGGGTATGGGACTGAGAGATACAAACTATGTATAAAATAAATAAGCAACAAGAAGGTACTGTACAGTACAGGGAAATTTAGCTATTATTTTTTAATATTATTAATATTATTTTATATGGAGTGTAATCTACAAAAATATTTACTCTCTATGTTGTACATCTGAAACTAATATAATATTGTAAATCAACTATAGTTCAATTAAAAAAATTTTTAAAAATCATATCCTCAGGGCCTAACACAAATCTGGCATGTCTTACATTTAGTAAATAATTTTTGAAAGAATGAGTAAATTAAGGCCAAAGCCAATACTTTATAAAATGATACCTTATAGATATGTATACTTTAATCATCCTCATAGAGTATATCTATTCTAAAAACCTTTTTGACAGGAGATAAAGCCTTTTTAGGAGATGCCTATAAACAGTACAGGACAACTTTTTGCTGAAAATATGGACATGATGTAAACAAACAACAACAACAAAAAAGGTTTCTTGGAGTCTCTGGCATATAATGCAAAAAAAGGAGACTATGTGAAGAGATGAAAAAAAAGTACCTGGTTAATTCAGGAATGTTTATTCCCATTGACATCTTTCTACAGATACTCATACCTTCACCAGCAATCTAAAAGTGTCCATTGGACTTTCTTAAGGTGTGGAGTAGGTAAAATAACAATCTATGATAGAATTTATCGTACTTCCCAGATCTTCCCCTTCTCTCAAAATAACTTTCTCTGAGGTAGCACCCATTATTGTTTTAAAAAATGGTTCAATTAATATGTGATTAACAGATAAGTGAAAGCAGCTGTCTGAGTAGTTCTCCTACCTTTTAGAAGCATCTTCTTGTTTCAAGGCACTTGTCTGCTTAGTACCTACAATTAAAGAAACAAAAAACAGTAGGTCAAGTCTACACAAACACACCAGGTTACAGGACAGATTCTTGCCCAAATAAACTGTAGACCATCTTTTCTTCTTTTCCACACATTTCACTTCCAATTCTGTGTGAAAATCAAATGAAATGGGAAGGGAATACAATTTGGTTTTGCAAACTAATTATTTTTCTTGGTTAAAATGTATCTCTCTCAGGATTGATTTTTCTTGTATCACAGTCGCATAGCTAAGCACTCCTGAAAGCCCGAGATCTGGGTACTTCTAGGGGCAACCGCTCTCCGTCCCCCTAAATGTTCGCTCCCGGGCAAGAGGGGTCTGACACCTCAGAGAACCAGGGCACCAAAGCAGCAGCACATCTGGAAGAAGGACCAGTGCCTGAGTAAAGGTCAGCTGCACTCGGCCTACCGACGCTGCCCTGGTCACTTATCCACTCTGGCGACCCAAGCTGCAGGCTCCCAGGACCTCTACTTCCCATTTCCTCAGAGCCTGGAGCACAGCCCATTCTGGGGGAAATCTCGAAACACTAGTGTAAAGAGGTGGGGGTCTGGCCGAAGGTCTTTCCCAGAAGGCCAGAGTTCGGCGTTGGGAATCTCCCGGCCTTCTCTGCCCCGAAGACCTCCTCCCCTGGGGCAACCTTTCGGGAGCGCCCCGCACGCCTCAGTCTGGAATTCTGTCGGGGACCAGTTCTCAGTTCCAAACGTAGGAAGGCCCTTCTTCCTACCTGCGACGTTTCGGGAGGCGCGAGGACCCCGGGCCTTACGGCCGGCAGAGACCTTCCCGACCCAGTCGGCCATTGGCAACGTCGTCGGCGTCGGAACCGGCCCAGGAGCCTTTCCCCTAAGACTCCGCCTCCCGTCGCGTAGCGCGGGGCGGGGCCGGCTGGGGTGGGGCGGGGCCAGGAAAGCGGCCTGCTTTGCCGGAGGAGGAGGAGGAGGAGCAGAAGGAGAAGGAGAGCGGCGAGAGGCCTGGCGGGTAAGTGGGTGTACCGGGGGTCCCGGGCGGCCGGGGCTCGCGGTGGACGGTGAGTCTCAGAAAACCCGGCGCCCCCGCGAGGTCTGGGGCCCGAAGGCCGACGCAGGCGGGAACAGGGAGAAATGGCTTCCCTTGGATGCCGCCTGCACGCGCGCTGGGGTTTTATCCGCCCTGGAGCGCGCTGCTGTGAGGATACCACCGACCCCCCGCCCCTCCTGCGGGGCGTGGAACGGGCCTTCCCTCCGGGGGAAACGATGGCCCGTGGGAACGCAACGGTGTTGTCCTGAGGGCGGCCTGTTGCCTTGCCTCCGTGCGATACAGTGTTTTCACTAACTCGATTGATTATATTGGGGGGACTACATCTCATACAAATGCCCTGGTCACACTTGGCGGTGGAGGACATCTCAACTTTCACCCCCTCCGGGTGAGCTGTGTTGCACTCCATTTTCTGTCAAGTGGGTTAAAAAATAAAAAATTCCCTGATGATTAGAACTGATTTCAGGCCCACCTTTTGGAGTAAAAAAGACTGCCTTTTTAAGCCCTTGTAGTCCAAATTTGAGCTGCCTCTTGGGAGTGCACTAGAGGATTTTTTTTTCCTTGAGTTTATCTTTCAAAATTATGCTCCAGGGAAACTTAAAAGATTAAACAGGAGGATTTTCTTTCTTTAAATTTTCTTAGGCTAACATACTAACTTTCAGTAAAACCATTTCAGCTTTAAAACTTTCCATTTTCTGTATTGTATTTATTAATAATCAAAATGAAACAACTTATTAATATTTCAATATAGTATTACTGATAGTTAACAGTTTGTCTTATGTTAGTACATTTCAGCATCAAAACTAGGAAAAACAAGAAGGAATGGCTGTGGAGGAACTTCATTCCATAATAAAGAGATGTGTAAGTAATTTTTTCTTTTTCTTTTTATGAAGTTAAATAATCTTTCAAAATATGGGCAGAGCACAGATTACTTTTAATTACATCTGCAGTCACTCAAATTGTTAATCTTCTTTAATCCTTGCTTTTTTTTGACCTATGAATAAATAGCATGAAGGCAGGAAGACAGATTGGAGTATGTCACTTGGAGAAATAATCTTTATAATCTTTATAATTTACTGATCCTTCTCATAGATTTCTTTGGTACAGTGGATTTCAAGATGATTTATTAAAGTATTTTTAGGCTAATCCTAATTTTCATATATACGCTTATGTGCACCTTATCTAGAATTTAAACATTTCTTTTTTTAGAGAGAGATAAAATAAGTCAAGTAGTTATTGAATTTTCATTTGCCTAAAATTACTGTTTTTTTTTGTTTATTTTGTTTTTGCCAGCAAATCCTAGAAGAGCAAGACTTCAAAGAGGAAGATTTTGGCCTGTTTCAGTTAGCAGGCCAAAGATGCATAGATGAAGGGCACATAGATCAGCTATTAGAAATTATTCAAAATGAAGAGAATAAGGTAAGTATAATCTTTGTATGTACTTTTCAGTCTTTACTAGGAAGAGAATAGCCACATGATGCTATTATTCATCCATTTATTTTTTTCAGCAAACATTTAAGAATCAACTTAAATTTCCACAGTAGAAAACTGTGGAAAATAAAAAGGAATTAGGACTAATTATATACTTTAAGGTGCTTACAGTCTGGTGGAAGAGATAAACATGTAAAGAACTAGCAATAGGAGGCAGAATAAACAGATACTTTATATCTGTTAACTCATTTAGCTTCTCCAGAGTAAGTGTTATAGTTGTAATGTAAGTAAAATGCTTTAGAAGAGTGGGGATTACTTCTGGTTTAGAGATCAAAGTGGTATTTGAATTAGCAATTTACATTGAGAAACATTGAGAAATATAAGTATCAGCCAGGCTACATATTCATTTTTGGTCATCAGCACATTCTTTTCCTTCAGCCAGGTGTATATGGGAAACCAAATATTAAGTAAGATCATATTTTGGGAGAGCTGGATGACCTTACTGGCCAATATCATCCAGCTACAATTGTCTTGAGAAATCATTCTGCACAATGAGAAAGGATGTTTTTGGGATCAGGAACAGCTGGGACACAGTGTTGACAACACTGCCTAATTTTGTGTCTTTGAACCCCTCCCCCATCCCCACCCCTCTTCTTATATAAGGGAAGATCATCTTCTTTCCAGGAACATAATCGTTCTTCATTTATAGTCCTATTTATTTATACAGAAGTTTTCTTTTGGGGGACTTCCCTGGCGGTCCCGTGGTTAAGACTCTGCGCTTCCACTGCAGGGGGCGCAGGTTTGATCCCTGCTCAGGGAACTCTGATCCCCCATGGTATGCGGCATGGCCAAAAAAAAAAAAAAAATTTTCTTTGTTGATATCACAATCTAGTCATGCTGGCCTAGGATTATATCCAGGGCACCTTGATTGTATTTAGGAGATTACTAAAACTTTTTAATCATACATTGTTATAGAATCTCTTACTAGTTCAAAGGTCTTATCCCTTTTTATTTATAATTTTTTAAAATAAAAATTAGCACATTTTATTTAGTACATTTGTTTTTGATATGTGTTTATAATACCTTTGTAGCCCCAAATAAAATAAATTTAATGCTTTCTTTAACTCCTTGATTTTTCCCAATTGCATTCTCAGAGGATTATCTTTGAGAGTACCTTACTTTTAGCTAATAATAAAATTAATAAAAGTTAATAATATTTATTGAGATCTACTATGTGCCAGGTGCTGTCTTAGGTGCTTTACATCTTTTAACTCACTTAGTCTCTCCTGAATCCCATGAGATAGGATTTTCTAGATAAGGAAAGAGTCACTGAATGATAAGTGATTTGCACAAAAGTATCAGCTTTTATGTGGCATCAGGCATTCAGACCTGTGCAGCCTGTTTCCAGAGCTCTTAACGATTCTGCTCTGCCTCTGGTTAGCACAGTGTAGCACCTGAAAGGAAGTTTTAGAGTAGAAGAGAGAGGACTGATTGTGAGGTGGCAAAGGTGATGGGGTTTCTAGCCTCTGAGAAGACAATACATCCTGAACAGAAACAGGCAACTTAAGGAGGAGAGAAAGTTCCCTGGCAGAGGACAAATAAGTTGGCATTGTTTGGCAACGTTGAGTTTAAGATGCAGCAGGCAATCGAAAAGTAATGTTTAGAGCTCAGTAGAGAAATACAACATTAAGATGTAGATTTGTGTGTCACTCTTAGAGATTAGGTGATTGTGATAGACTTAAGCATAGTGAGGCCTAGCCTTGATAGCTTGAGGATCACCTTTGTAATGTGGTCTTCTAAATTTAAAGGTTCAGATATTGATAAGACAGAGTTTAAAACTGCACCTTAGTTTACTTGCAGGTGACACAATCAAGATTGATCAAGATTTACTATTAATCTGCTTTGTGTAAAAAAATTTTTCTTTAAGTCACAGGAATGGTAGTTTGTCCTAAGACACTACAGTGCAGGGGTTTTCAACATCAGCACTGTTGATATTTAGTAATTTGGAAAAATTATATGTGTTATAATAATATATAACATAAATTCCCGATTAGTAAAGACCTAAATATTAAAAGTCAGGCCACAGAAAAGATAGAAGAAAACAAGACATAATATCAGATCTTTGGAGAGAGGATAATTTGTCATGCTTAGAAGTAATAGACATAATTCAACCTGTGTTTGTGGAACATCTGTTTTTTTTTTTTTTTTGCGGTACGCGGGCCTCTCACTGCTGTGGCCTCTCCCGTTGCGGAGCACAGACTCCGGACGCGCAGGCTCAGCGGCCATGGCTCACGGGCCTAGCCGCTCTGCGGCATGTGGGATCTTCCCGGACAGGGACACGAACCCGTGTCCCCTGCATCGGCAGGCGGACTCTCAACCACTGCGTCACCAGGGAAGCCCTGGAACATCTGTTTTGTAACAGGCCCTACTCTAGATGCTGGGAATAGATACAGTAATGAACAAAAATCAGTGCCCCATATGGATCTTAAATTCTAGCAAAGACAGATAAATCATTTAGTAAGTTGGAAAGTGATAAATTCTATAGAGAATAATGCAGCATGATCAGGGGGATGGGTTGTGTTGGGTAAAATTGCACAGAAATTTGAAGGAAGCAGAGACAGCCCCACAGTAAGCTATGGGACTGTCTGGGTAAGAGTGTGCCAGGCAGAAGAAAAAACTAGTGCAAAAAAAATATTCAGAGAGATCAATGGAAGCTATCCCATTAGATAAAAGACATGATTGTTTTGCTATTTGTTTAAAAAAAATCAATTTAAGGCTTCATTTTATGCCATGTTTCCAATGTAAATCTTACTGAATAAAAAGAAAGGCAATATATGTGTGTGTGTGTGTGTGTGTGTATGTGTGTGTGTATGAGTATATATGTATATATATGTGTATATATGTGTGTATATATAAGTATATGTGTATATATATTTATTTTTTCTAATTTAAATGAGTATTTATGTATCTCAAGGGGAAAACCGTTTTAGACCTAAAAGCACTAGAAAAGGGACCAAAGAAAAAAAATCACTGTATTTTGCTGTATAAAAAATTAGGACAACCAAAAAACCAAATGACAATTTGTCGTAAATACAGTGAAGTGAATATTAACATATAGGGACCTCATGCAGGTTGGTAAGACAAACACTAAAACTTCCAGTTGATAAATAAAGATGTAAACAGATAGCATCTCCTCTTCTGAACTATGTATCCACATACCCTGACATTTTTCTGTTGCTAGTTCTCTAGGACATGTTAAGTCCTAGCACAATGCTGTTTCTGAGCCTTGAATGTATTTCCCACCTATCTATGCCTGATAAACTTCTGTTTCTTTAACAAGCCTTAGCATAGCTATCACCTATTCTGGGAAGCCTTTCTTGCCTTCCCCAGGTAGAAGTGACTATTCTCCTGCTATACTTTAGCATTTTAATTAATTAATTAATTAATTAATTAATTTTTGGCTGCGTTGGGTCTTCGTTGCTGTGCGTGGGCTTTCTCTAGTTGCAGCAAGCGGGGGCTGCTCTTATTGCAGTGCGCGGGCTTCTCATTGCGGTGGCTTCTGTTGTTGCAGAGCACGGGCACTAGGCGCACGGTCTTCAGTAGTTGTGGCATGAAGGCTCAGTATATGTGGTTCATGGGCTCTAGAGTGCAGGCTCAGTAGTTGTGGCACACGGGCTCAGTTGCTCCTCGGCATGTGGGATCTTCCCGGACCAGGGCTCAAACCCGTGTCCCCTGCATTGGCAGGCGGATTCTCAACCACTGCGCCACGAGGGACGCCCTAGAGGAACTATTTAAAAACTGGGAAAGACCAAATTACCTGGTTAAAAGTAAAGACCCATTTGCCTTTCCTCAGTGAAAGTATTAAAAACTATTTTAGAATGCTGTTACCTGTTAACAGCCAACCCTAGGAAGTCAATGGTGAGATGTTCATGGATTCACTTGCCTCATCTTTCCTGTTTTAGAGGAAATTGTCAGCTCCTCCAGGTTAAGAAAGCTCACTGTGAGAGTCCTGTAGATGGCAGTATTTGCTTTATTGTACTATGAAAATGTTTTTACAGGTCATCATTAAGAATATGGGCTGGAATCTTGTTGGTCCTGTTGTTCGATACCTTTTATGGAATGATAAGGAACATGATAAAAGAAAGTATTATTTTCTGATGCTTGATTTATTGGTAAAGGTAAGTTAACACAACTAGATTCTCTTTGTCACAATACACAGCAATGTTTTATAATTCCCTTTAATGTTTTTGGTGAGAAAGCTTTTAGTTCATGAAAGTATAGGTGGGAACTCTTTGGAGAAAAGGCCCATCCTTATTTATTGGATGGGCCAGTCCATTTCATTTTTCCCAGATTTTCTGGATGTAAGAATTATCTGACCTCATCTTAGACCCACTGATTCAGAATCTTCAGAGAGAGGCCTAAAAAGCTCTATTTTTTAAAAAGTAGCTTATTGTTCAGATGTGAAATTCATGCTTTAAAGAGGTAGTTTCAGACCACACTGATGTTTTGGCAACGCTGGAACTAAAATCAAATATGAGTGTTCTTTCTTCTATGGTATGTTCCCTAAAAGAATATGAAAAACCTAGAATGCCAGTGATAACAGAGGAAATAAGAGTAGGAAATAGGTTAGTGGTGACTGACAGCCTTAGGTAGACTCTGAGTAAAAGGTTAATAGAGTTATAAGCCAAAAATGATGGTTACAAGAGAGAAACTCTAAGAGAAAGGACATAAGAAGCCACTTAGAGGTCACTGTAAATAGACACAAATATGTACTTGAAAAGAGGGAACTCCCTAGATATTAGTTATTAACTATGAGAGCTTTTAGAAAAACAAGGCAAGTGAGGCGATAAAATATAACCAGTCAGAAAGCAACGCAAAGTTTTGTCTGTTCAGGAAAAACAAAAGAGACTTTACACTCATCTAACTACCCTAGCAGTATGAGACAGAAAGATCCCACCTGCTGGAAGCCCTGGGAGACAAAGGCAGCCTTCAGAGTAGACAGGCAAAGCTCAGAGGAAACCTCAGCTCTGGTGTTCAGGCTCTCCTTTCCCCTATTTCTCTAACTTTTCCATTAGTCAGGAATTTAAGTCTCTTAAATGTAGTTGTCCATTGGGAGACCCTTGACTTCTTGCTTTCACAGAATCTCAGACTCTCTGTTTTGCTAGTGTATTTTTTTAAATTTAATTTTAACTTTTTATTTTATATTGGAGTATAGCCGATTAACAATGTTGTGATAGTTTTGAGTGCACAGCAAAAGAACTCAGCCATACATATACATGTATCCATTCTCCCTGCTAGTGTATTTTTTAAAAACTTTTTATGAGGTGTTTTACTGTTAAACAAAAATAATTATACTGTCTCAGTATATGCCTTTTAAAAATAATAATCATGTGGCTTTAAATACAACTTGTATTAAACAGGTTCAATTGTGAATATTTTTATAGTTATGTAATCCAAAGGAATTATTGTTGGGTTTGCTTGAGCTGATTGAAGAACCCTCTGGAAAACAGATATCCCAAATTATTCTTCTTTTACTTCGGCCATTACAAACAGGTAATGAGTATATTGACATCTAAGTGTTTCTTGTTTTATTTGTGTAAGTGCCTTGATATTACTCCAAGATGTCAACACTATAGCAAAGTTTATGCCTAATTATTTTTTTTATATAAATTTATTTTTTTATTTTTGGCTGCGTTGGGTCTTTGTTGCTGTGCGTGGGCTTTCTCTAGTTGCAGCGAGCGGGGACTACTCTTCGACGCAGTGCAGGGGCTTCTTATTGCAGTGGCTTCTCTTGTTGAGGAGCACAGGCTCTAGGTGCACAGGCTTCAGTAGTTGCGGCTCATGGATTCTAGAGTACAGGCTCAGTAGTTGTGGTGCACGGGCTTATTTCCTCCGCAGCATGTGGGATCTTCCTGGACCAGGGCTTGAATCTGTGTCCCCTGCATTGGCAGGTGGATTCTTAACCACTGTGCCACCAGGGAAGTCCCATAGTTTATGCCTAATTATTTAGTACTCTGCTTAAACTAGTAATAGCAATGCGAGTTTGAATCCTGCTACTCATAGAAAGTTGGCAATACCTGGCACAGAGATGGTACCCAGTAAATATTTTGTTGAATGTCATGCTCTTTTTCATGTGCTTTGTTGTGACCTATAGTTTTTGCTTAACCTTCCTATCTGCAGCTTATATTTAGAATTTTTCCTGTAAACATATTTAAAGGATTGCCTCTGCAGTGCTCAGTTTGATAGCATTGTGGTAGTCATGTATCTTAATTAAGAACAGTATCAGGCAGGGCATTGCTCAGCCTTTGCTTTAGGAGGTTGGGATTGGGAATAACAAAGGTACTACTGAACAATGAAACAAGTGTGGAAAGAAAAGTTTCCATAACTGAGTGCAAAAACAGTATTGATAAGTAATGGACTTTGGCAACCAAGGCAGACAGTATTTATGCATGGGAAGAGACCACTTTTTCATTTTATAACATACATATAACTCAGAGTCTGGTAGAAGGACCCAAAATCAGAAGCTAGAGTAAATTTATTTTAAATGTGAATTCCCAACAGCTTTGTATAACTTGAAATATTTAAAGTCTTCTAGAAAAAAATCTAATACTACTGCCTTTCATTTTTACAGTGCTTTATAGTTTACAAGACACTTGTTCCTATTTTATACTTATAACAACCAAAAAATATGGAAAGAAGTGTTTTCGTTTTAAGTATGTAACCTGTGGTGTAAACATACCTGAACAAAATTTCATGGCATCTGTTGTAAAGTGCCATGATTGTAAGATGCTCCATTAGTTTATAAACCCCTAAGAAGGAAAAAAATACTGCCAGTTAAGCTATGATATGTCATCCTGATATCAGAGTTGTCAAAATATGGGGGGGAAATATGTGTTGTACTTCTGCATTTATTGGACTTCTCCCATGTTTAGCATACTTGATGAGGCTGCCTCAAGTAACAACTTGGTCTCTGTTTTAGTGATTCAGAAACTTCGTAACAACAAGGCATATTCAGTTGGATTAGCATTGTCTACGCTTTGGAGTCAGCTGTCTCTCCTTCCTGTTCCATACTCAAAAGAACAAATACAAGCAGATGACTATGGCCTTTGTCAGTGCTGCAAGGCCTTAATAGAGTTCACTAAGCCTTTTGTGGAAGATGTCATTGATAACAAGGAAAGCTCAATGGAAAATGAAAAATTAAAGGATGAAATACTGAAATTGTAAGTATATTTTAAGAATAATTCATAATGGACTTAAGTGATAGTTCAGTTATTTTATGTTTCTTTGTTTTATTTGTTTGCAGTGGAAATTTAAATCTAGTTTCTAATTTTGAATTTTAGAAGAATATGGAGTTCAGTTGATATAACATGGGCATTTAATGAAGCATCGATATTTTAAAAAAATGAAACCAAAATCCATTTGTTTAGTTTACTTATATTCTTCTATGGGTTGCCTTTACTCGCCATGGTAAGTGAATAATAGCAGTGAAGGAAATAGATGGGTGTAGCGCAAAGAATCTGGTTTTCTGCAGGGGAATTATGTTTTTACTCTCCCTTTGAAAGCAGCAGAAGGTGCACCAGACAGCTGAACTTCCAATTTGACAACAAAAACAGTAGCAGAGAACCCAGTAGCATTCACTCCAGGGGTACCGTAGACCAGCAGTCCCCAACCTTTTTGGCACCAGGGACCAGTTTCGTGGAAGACAATTTTTCCACGGATCGGGAGGGGCAGGAGGTGGGGGATGGTTCAGGCGGTAATGCAAGTGATGGGGAGCCATGGGGGGTGATGGGGAGCGGCAGATGAAGCTTTGCTGGCTCACCCGCCGCTCACCTCCTGCTGTGCATCCCGGTTCCTACCAGGCCGAGAACCAGTACTGGTCCGTGGCCCAGGGGTTGGGGACCCCTGCTGTAGACTATGTATGCACTGTTCAGTATGGCTGTCAAGCACTTGACATATGGTTAGTCCAAATTTAGTGCTCTAAGTGTAAAATCCTCCCTGTATTTCGAAGACTTGTTATTAAAAGAAATACTAAAATACCTCAATTTTTATACTGGTAACATATTGAAATAATGTTTCTGACATATGGGTTAATAAGAGAAATTATTTAAATTAATTTTTCTTGTCTCTTACTACTTTTTTAATGTGACTACTAAAAAATTTTTAATTATATTTGGGGCTTTAATTATATATGAGACTCTTAGGTAGTGCTGGACTGGATTATATTGAACAATATGGACCAGTAATTTTATTTTTAAAATTTTGAGACTAAAACCACTGTTAGCTTTCTATTTTGTCAGGTTAGGACATTAAAGCATTTTTTACCATTTATAAAACCCATTATTTCATGAAAGAAAACATATTTTAACTAAAATAGGTAAGGCTTAATCACAGAATAAATTTGATTTTCTAAATTAAACAAATATAGCTTTATGAAAAAATTACTGCATTGTCCTGATTTTCCTTAAACTAATGAAAACTACATATACACTAGCACTGGTCCTAAGATAAATATTCAGTATCCATTGGTATAGTCCAGACATGGAAGTGACTCTCTGCATTGAATCTAGCAAGGTATTCTCATGCTCTCCCCATTACTAGTAAGAAGGATCTTATATCACCAGTTTTACAGGCCATTGGGTTATTGGTGCTTATGTTATTTTTCATGTGAAAACTAGGTATTTTATACTTAGGAAGTGCTGTATTCATCGTTACCCATTTCTTAAATTTTAGTTGTTTCAGAAGCTTGAAATGCCCTTTGCTGACAGCACAATTCCTTGAGCAGTCTGATGACACTGGAGATGATCCTTTAAGGTGTTTTGCATCTGAAATAATAGTAAGTACAGCTAATTTAATGTTATAAAATCTGCTATAATCTAAAATATTACGTGCTATATTCTCATATACTGCACATGGGCATGTAAATTGATACATTTATTAATAAAGCAATATGTATTTTTTATAGAATATAGATAAAAAGATGAAAAACGAACAGCAATAATTTCAATAACTAGATATAAATAATATTAACACCTGTATTGGAAAAATTTACAGTTCTCCTTTTGTGTCTTTTTCCTTTACTTTCACTCAGAACACTTCACTTCTGGCATTTCTGGTCACAAAATGTGTGGGGGTTTTATCTTTTCTTTCTTTTTTTAAAAAATAAATTTATTTATTTATTTATTTTTGACCCAACCCCCGTGTTGGGTCTTCATTGCTGCACATGGGCTTTCTCTAGTTGCGGCGAGCGGGGGCTACCCTTCATTGTGGTGCGTGTGCTACTCATCGCGGTGGCTTCTCTTGTTGCAGAGCACTGGCTCTAGGCGCGCAGGCTCAGTAGTTGTGGCACACAGGCTTAGTTGCTCCACCGTATGTGGGATCTTCCTGGACCAGGGCTTGAACCCGTGTCCCCTGCATTGGTAGGCAGATTCCTAACCTCTGAGGGAATCAGCCTACCAATGCAGCCACCAGGGAAGTCCCATTGGGTTTCTTTCCCACACGAAACAATTCTGCTGCACCAGCTGGGTGTCCTACAGTTAAACTCAATTTTGACACTAACTACCTGGAGATAGTATCAGATTCTGCAGGTTAAGGGCTCAGTCCCATGAGGCTGCTCCCTATTTCAGATGCCAATTGCTCGTGTTAGGTCCCCAGGTTACCCACAACTTCTGTTTGACTTGGCTACAAATCAGAGGTTCCATGACCTCCTCCCCTTTGGGTTCGATTATTTGCTAGAACGGCTCACAGAATTAAAGGAAACCCTTACTTATGTTTACTAGTTTATTAAAAGATATGATAAAGGATGCAGATGAACAGCCAAATGAAGAGATAGAACAGCCAAATGAAGAGATAATTGTACATAGGTCAAGGTCTGGGAGGGTCTCAAGTGCATGAGCTTCTGTTCTCATGATGTTGGAGTGTGTCACGCTCCCAGTATGTGGATGTGTTCGCTAACCTGGAAGCTCTCTGAAACCCATACTTTGGGGATTTTATGGAGGCTTCCTCATTTAGGCATGATAAGATATTAACTCCGTTTCCAGTCCCTCTCCCCTCTCTACAGAACTGAGGGATGGGGCTCAAAATTCCAAGCTTCTAATCATGGCTTGGTCTTTCTCATTACCACCCCCCATCCAGCAACCATCTTAGTGCCCACTCAGAGTCACTTTAATAGAACAAAAGATGCTCCTAATGTCTTATCATTTAAGAATTTACAGAGGTTTTAGAGCTCTTTGTCAGGGACAGGGTTAAAGACAAACGTTAGAACGAGAGATGTTCTTAGTGCTCTTATCACTTAGGAAGTTATAAGGGTTTCAGGAAAAAAAGAAAAAAAAGGGTTTCAGGAGCCCCGTGCCAGCAACCATTAGCAGAGACCAATATATATATTTTTTCTGTTATTTCACAACACCTTCCAGACTTTTTTCTGCTCTAATACTTATAAATAAATAAATATATACATATATAATTTTTAAAAAGATCCTATCATATTATATAGTTGACCCTTGAACAATGCCCAGGGGGTAGGGGCACCACAACTCTGCTCAGTCAAAAATCTGTGTTTAACTTACAGTCAGCCCTCTGTATCCTGAATTAGAAATTTGAGGAGGGATAGGAGGAGTTAGGAGAGGAGATTCCAGAACTTTAGGGGAAATAGCTTCTGAGGATGAGAGATGATTTGGTAACTGATATAAACAGATACATAGTTTAATGGGGTTAATGCTGATGGTCAAGGTAGCGGTAAAGAGGTTATGAGTGATGAAGAGGGATTGGGGAAGGGATTTTCCCAGGAGCACATAAAAGCCTGGGGCCTCTTCATTGTTGCCAATACTAGAGTACAGTGTAAACCTCTGGATCCAATATAAACAGCACCATATGTGATATATGTACTCCAAGATGTCTATGAAAGTTGGAAACTGTTAAGGATTTTAAGCCTGGGAGTGATGTAATCAAACTGTTTTGAGTTCATCACTTTATTGGAGGATGAACTTAACTAAGAGTGGAAGTAGGGAGATGGGTTAGGTGTCTTTTGGGAGTTAAGTGATAATGATGAGAGCCTGAGTATGGAAAGAAGAGAAGGCAGATTTGAGAACTTTATAGGTAGATAAAATTAGCAAAGTTTGGTAATGGATTGGATTTAGAAGAATAGTAAAAAGGTTGAGTTATGGACAAGGTTTTTTGCTTAGTTAACAGGACAGGTGAAGTTACCAATAATTAAGATAGAGAATACACAGCAAGCAGTAGGGGGTTTTTTACTTAAAAATTTTTTTTTTATTATGGAAATTTAAGACATTCATAAAAATAGAACAATATAACATACTCTCATGTACCTCCTGCCCCGCTTTGACAATTATCAACCTTTTTGCCAGTCTTGTTTTATCTAGCCTCCCTCTTTTTATTTTGAGTTGATAAGCAATGTAAAGTTAGTTTATTTTTTTTTAATTTTTTAAAATTAATTTTTATTGGAGTATAGTTGATATACAATGTTGTGTTAGTTTTAGGTGTACAGCAAAGTGATTCAGTTGTACATATACATATATCCACTCTTATTCTTACTCTGTAATAGGCCATTACAGAGTACTGAGTAGAGTCCCTGTGCTATACAGTAGGTCCTTGTTAGTGATCTATTTTATATACGGTAGTGCGTGTATGTCAGTCCCAATCTCCCAGTTCATCCCTCCCCCCCACCCCCAGCCTCCCTCTTTTTTTGCTGTAGTATTTTATAGAAAGTCTAGATATATCATTTCATCTGTGAGTCTTTATGTATGCTTCTCTAATTGGTAAAGACTTTTTAAAAAACATAACCACAATGCCATTATGACACCTAACAAGATTAACAATAATTTCTAATATATGTATCTCTAATACCCAGAGACAACAGGTTTTTAAGGAGCAAATTTTGGAAAAGAGTAGATGAGATTACCCAAAGCGGTAGATCAATGTGAGAAAGGAAAAGCGTTCAGGACTGAATCCTGTAGGGTACCAGCGCTTAAGATGAGCCCACCAAAGAGACCAAGAAAGGAGAGTCAAAGAGGTGATGAAAATATCACAGAAACTGGGGTAGTAGAGTTCAGGAAGAAGGAAATGATTGCTCCTGTTAAAAGCAGCAGAGATAGTCTGTAGAGTAGGAGTTGAAAAGCATCCGTTGGATTTAGGAAGTAAGATGGCATTGATAATCTTAGCAAGAGCAGTTTGAGTGGAGTGTGGGAGACAAAAATCAGTGGACTAGATAAAGGAGTGCATGAAAAATGAGAAAAAGGAGATGACTAGTATAAGCTATTCTTTAAGAGTTTGGATGAATAAGGAAGAAGAGAGGCAATAGAGAAGACACGGCCTTAGATTGGAAGGTAACTGGGGGAGGCAGGAGGTGTGAGCATGTTTATAGACTGAAGGGGTGGGAACCATCACAGGGGGAAAGAGAAGTATTATGGGATAACTGAAATAATGTGGCTCAAGGAGAGCAGACAGCTGGGCATGGGATTGAGGATACCTGGAGAGGAAGAGGGAAGAGCTGGTATGTAGGTAGAAAAATTTGTAGCAGAAACGGAGTATTATAATTGAGGGAATTATATTATTATTATAATATAATTATTAATATTATTATAATTGAGGGAATCAGACCCACTGTCCTCAGATCCCTTAAGAATGAGAGGTGGAGGGCTTCCCTGGTGGCGCAGTGGTTGAGAGTCTGCCTGCCGATGCAGGGGACATGGGTTCGTGCCCCGGTCTGGGAAGATCCCACATGCCGCGGAGCGGCTAGGCCTGTGAGCCATGGCCGCTGAGCCTGCACGTCCAGAGCCTGTGCTCCGCAACAGGAGAGGCCACAACAGTGAGAGGCCCGCGTACCGCAAAAAAAAAGAATGAGAGGCGGAAATGAGGACTGAACAAGGGGCTTCAGGAAACTGGTAAAGGTTTGGAATATTGAGTGGAAAGAAAAGAGAGGTAGGAGACGAAGAAAACATTAGTCAGTAGTGCTAAGCACTTGGCGACTGTGGTTGGAGACCACAACTATAGTGATAATACTATTTTTCTGTGATTTTTCTCAAGCAGTACTCAGCTACCTGGGTGTAGAAGTAGAGAAGGTGGTTTGTAGCTGTTTTTCCAAGGCTGGCATTTTATTGGGTAGACGTAGCTAACTGAAATATAGGGTGCAGATAGTTCAAATAACTAATAGTGCATTGGTTGGTTAGGGAAAGAAGGGGATTAAGAGGGGACAGATGGGTAGGTTAAAATGAAGGCATAACAAGACTAGAGAAGTTAGAGGTAGATGAGTAGGTTGGCATGTGGTCAAAAAATGAGATGCTGGAGTTTAGGTGTCTAATATGGAATAGCTCCAAATTTTGATAGAGATCCAGGATTGAATTAGGTGCCAAAACGGATTAGAAATTAAGGTCATTAGAATTTAGTGGTCAGAAAAACCATGAGGCTGGCCTGTTACAGGAGTTATCTACATGAACATTCAATTTTTCTAGGATCATAGCAGGAGTTGGATAGAGAAAAAGGATGTGAGCAGGTACCAGTCTTCCGTGAACATGGGGAAATGACCAGGAAGTCAGCGTATGACAGAGATGAGGACAGATAAAGGGCAGTATGGCACCTGCCTCAAAGGAAAATGTGCTTTTGCCTGAGAGTGCAGGAAGAACCAAGATAATACTAAGCCTCTACCCATACCACCCTTTCCTACTGCTGCCTTCCTCGCTGTGCAATGTAAGAGGTGTGAGAGTATGAGCAGCTCCCACCAGAAACCAGTCAGGTTTAATGAGAGCAGTGAGATAGAGTCAGCATCCTATGAAGAGGTTGAGGGTATAGGGAAGAGGTTCTAAGGTCTCAGTCAGTGGAAGGCACATTACAAGTAAAGCCAACAGTGAGGAAGCACAAAGCAGTTAAGAAATAGAAGTGAAATCAGGGTAGGAAGTGAAGTGAGGAGGTGCCTTCTGTTCTATGCTGAAGAAGTATAGGTAAATGTGGCATGCCTCAGCCATCCCTCTGGCACAAGTTGTTTTGGTATAGAACTGCTTGAATGTCCCAGGGGCAGCAGCATAGGAACATTTCATGAAAGGGCAAAGACTGCCTTGAGAAATTGTAGAGGCGCAGGTATGTTGGGTCTGAGCAAGGCTGCTGGATGGTGTGTGGATAGATAGTGAAGACCCTATTTGGACACAGATGGACCCCAAATATCTACAGCAGCACTGTAGGATCTGGTTACATATAATGATTTTTTAAAAGGCTAATAACCTTCCTCTGGAAAAAAAAACCCAAAACACATCTAGCATTGGCTGAATGAAGAAATGGAGCTTCTTGATTAAGAGGACATTTGGAATCTGAATACAATAAATTTTTGTTTTATGGATATAACAAGAATGCAAGGCTTCGAAAATCAGTATTTATTTAGCATCTGGTGGCTGAATAGCAGTCTCTTGTGACTGAGGATTATTTTCCATGGTTGATTTTTGTGTTCTGAAATGACTAATGGAGCCATCTGGAGTAGGCAGGTTTTAACTTCCTGAAGACCAGAAAAGTGTTATTTGGCTTTCTAATTCTCTACAGTGGCAGGCCCAGTGCCTGGCACTCAAGTATTTATTGAATAAATGAGTGAATATGTGGAAGGTCAGCTTTAGCTTAGCTGTTTCCGTCATTCCCTTGACTTCTATATAGTAGTTTGTTGTGACCTTAACTTTCTTAAACTTTTTTGTGGAGCTTCTCAATAAATATTGACATACGTATTATGTCATTTTCTAGATAAGGAAACTGAAGCTTTAAAGAGGTTAGGTAACTAAACCAGTATCTAACAGCTAATAGGTGGTAGAGCCAAAACTCAGATTCATTTCATTGGATACTGAAGGTCAGGTGCTTTCCAGCACACTAGAATTGGAAATGGTATAAGAGGCATAGGAGTGACCTTGTATTTCTTAAGGCTCTCTTTTTCTCTTTCCTTCCCCCCTTAAAACAAATGAACAAACATAAAACTGTAGTCAGTTAACTCAGGCAGGGATGCTTCTCTTTCTCCTGCAAGAGCCCATATGACCTGAGGTATCAGTACTGTTTCCTCTGTCTCTTCAGCCACTGGCCAGTGTTCCTCCTGCCCATTCCGTATCCAGGCAAACAGTGGTCAGTAGAGCATTCCTAGAATATTCTTCATTTGAGTAGTTTACTGTCATTTCATGATACTTGTATGTCTCACATTTTTAGATTGTTCTCAAATATCTCTGAAGCATTTTTTAAATTGTGACAAAATATATATAAAATTTACCATTTTAACCATTAACCGTATAGTTCAGTGGCATTAAGTACATTCACATTGTGTGTAACGATCACCACCATCCATCTCCAGAACTTTTTCATCTTCCCACCCACTTAGTTCCTTCAGGTTGTTGGCAAAAACTTATCTTCTTGAACCTGTAGGATTGAGGTCCCCATTTTCTTGCTGGCCAGGGAACACTTTCAGTTTCTAGAAGCTGCCTGTGGTTCCTTGACAGACAGCCCTCTTCATAGGCCCCCTCATAACTTGGCAGATTAGTTCTTTAAAGCCAGCAAGGGTGAGTTTCTGACTCTTAAGGAGGGCCTGGATCCTGTTTAAAAAGGTTCTTCCTGTTAAGTCGGGCCCATGGAGAATAGTGTCTCTTCTCAACTCAAATCAGCTGACTTGGGACTTTAATTACATCTGCAAAAATCCCTTCACTTTTGTCATATAACATAATCTAATCATAGGGGTGGCATCTTGCCATATTCTGTTGGTTAGAAGCAAGTCTCACAGGTCCCATCCACACTCAAGAGGAGGGGATTTTATAGGATGGGGATTTTGTAGGATGTGAATATGGGGTGGGAGAGGGCACAGTAGAGTGTCTGCTATAGCTTCCTTTTTTATCCATTTCACAGGGATTTTTATCAGCAATTGGACACCCTTTCCTCAAAATGATTTTTAATCATGGAAGGAAAAAGAAGACTTGGGATTATCTTGAATTTGAGGAAGAAGAAGACAAACAGTTATCAGACTCTATGGCTTCTCTGGCATATCTAGTATTTGTACAGGGCATCAGTATTGATCAGCTTCCAATGGTATTAAGGTAGGAGTTATTGTTTATTTATATATTCTGAAAGGAATAGCATCAAACTCATTTATCTAATGTCCAATATGTGTTTATTAATGTACTAGTACATTTTCAATGAAGTATAAACAAAACCTGTTTTTATGCTAAATATTACTGTGTATAATCCCTTAAAGCCAGTAGTCATCAAGTAGTGAAAGTGGTTGGGTGGGTAGGTGTTGAAATAGACTTAAGGAATGATTGGGACAAGAGTCACAAAGTGTTAAACTGAGCTTGGTTTTGAAGCTGTTAGGCCACTTACCAATAGGGTGGTCTAAATTGCCATCATCTTTTCACTGGATTATTAATGTAATCCTGAGTGGATATTTATATATCTACCCTCAATCCCTTTTAATCCAATTTATTCTCAACACATAGAAAGTGAAGCTTTTAAGAGTCGTCCCTAATGAAAACCCTTCAGTGGCTTCCTAAATGGCTCTAAGAATAAAGTCTTAAATGCCTTCCCATGAGACAAGCTTATGCATGATCTGGTCCTTGCTTTATTGTCCTGATTCATCTCCTACCACCTTTCCTCTTGTTTACTGTGCTCCAGTAACACAGATCTTCTGGTTTCTTGTTCACATGTGTCATGAACCTTCCTGCTATAAGATCTTTGTACACGCTTAGAACCATCTTTATCCTACATATAGCTTTCTGAGGAAAGCCTTCTTTACCACCCAATTTAGGCTGAATCTTCCTGTTACAATGACCTTGACCTTGTGTTTCATTTCCCATAAAGTTTTTAAACTAAATTTTTAATCAAAACTTTAAAAAAAATACATATTTCTATAATGTAACACCTTTTAGACTTTAAGGTCCATGATAATAAAGATTGTGTATTTGTGTTGCAGGCCTTGGGTGTATTTGTGTAATTTGTATATTTAGGTATGAATATACCTGGGAGTATATTTGTATGTAAATATAGCAATAATAGCTACCACTTGCATGTTTACCACGTATTAAACACTATAACAGCTTTGTATACATTATCTAATCTTTATAATAACCCTTTTAAATAGAGCACTATCTCATTTTACAGATGAAAATAACTAGCTTAGACAAGTTATGATACATACCACCCAGGATCATACAACTAGTTAGTAGGATAGGTGGAATTTAAACATAGTTCTGTCTGACCCCAGAGCATATACCCTTAATCACACTCGACCACCAAAATGACTTAGGTATGTATATTAGTGTGCTAGAGCTGCCATAACAAAGTACCACACACTGTGGATAGCTTAAAATAGCAGAAATTTATTATCTTATCATTCTAGAGGTTAGAAGTCTGAGGTCAAGGTGTGGTCAGGATTGGTTCCTTCTGAGGGCTGTGCAGGAGAATCTGTTCCATGCTTCTTGCCTAGCTTCTGGTGGTTTACTGGCAGTCCTTGATGTTCTTTGGCTTGTAGATGCATCACTCCAGTCTCTGCCTTCACGTTCATATAGAATTCTCCCTGTGTGCTTGTCTCTGTCCACATTTCCCTTTTTTATAAGGATACCAGTCATACTGGATTAAGACTCATATTAATGACCTCAGTTTATCTTGATTACCTCTGTAAAGATCCTGTCCCTAGGGTGGGGGGGGGGTTCCTGCTCTGTCCCTGCCCATCACTACCCCAACTTTTTAAGAAAGAGAGACTTTTTCTCCATATAAGGTCATATGCTGAGATACTGGCAGTTAGGACTCCAGCATATCTTTTTTTTTTTTTTTTTTTTTTTGCGGTACGCGGGCCTCTCACTGCCGTGGCCTCTCCCGTTGCGGAGCACAGGCTCCAGACGCACAGGCTCAGCGGCCATGGCTCACGGGCCCAGCCGCTCCACGTCATGCGGGATCTTCCCGAACCTGGGCACGAACCCGTGTCCCCTGCATCGGCAGGCAGACTCTCAACCACTGCGCCACCAGGGAAGCCCCAGCATATCTTTTTTGAGGGGATACAATTCAACCCATAACAGTATTTATGTATGTAAAACTAAAAGTGTGTGTGTATGTGTGTGTGTTTATATATACATTTTTTTTTCTATTTTAGCCCATCATACCTTTTGCAGTTTAATATGGGGCATATTGAAGTCCTTTTACAAAGGTAAGATCATTTAGATGGCATCTCAGAATTAAATAGTAATGTTAAAATAGTCCTTGTCAAGATCAGGGGAGACTACTTTCTCTTTGCCAGACCCTAGTTAACTAATTGATTATTTTATAAAATAGTGAAGCAGTTATTCACAGCAGAGATAGAAATGAACCAAGGAGGTTTTTACAACAAAACCTCTTATTTTAAACTAAAGATAATTTTTAAATATTGTCTTCTAAGGAGGTTTCCAGTCATCTGCTTCTAAGGTTTCTTTGCTTATTTCAGAAGTTGATAAATTAAACCACCTCTATCCCACTGCAGCCTCGTCCAATCTAAGGAGGGGTGGTCAATAAAAGAAATTCATCCTTGGTTTTGCTTCATGGACACAATCTGTGAACTGCATCAAAAGGAAGGAAGTGTCTTAACTCCATCTTTTATAACTTAGATTATTGATAGTGGTATCATTCAATAGCTTTTCTCATTTGAGGCACTAATAAGAAGGAAGACTTCCCCTTTTTAAAAAAAATTACCAAGTAACAGGTATGCATAGTTTTCCCAGACAGATATTTAAGAATTTTGCCAAACTCTATATGCTTTGTTTTCTTTTTCTGTAACATGTTTAAATTATCTCTTGAGATCAGTCAGGGCCTTATCCTCTAGGAATACTGGTGACAGTTTATTAATCCCATCTCTTCCCAGGTGAAGGAAGATTTGTAACATGGCAAATGTCCAAAGCCTCAGCCTACAAGGCAGGAATTTCCAAGGGTCTCCTGGCACAAGTAGTTATTAACTCTGTAAATTTACTGTATTATGTATGTCTTAATGATTTTACATTTTTATTTAGCTTCTATTATATTCATAAAATGAGAATATGTATTGATTTCAATCTTAAGTTCTATAGTCTTAAGATTTCCAAACTGTTTAGTCATTGAGCCAAAAAACATAACATTTTTAATTCCTTGTATGGTTAGAATAAGAACCTGGAGCCTGAGATAATATTTTTTGCCACAGATCTTAAATATTTAGTTAACAGTGATTGTAAAACTTAATAATCACAAATGGAAAGCATTAATTTATATATATATTTATATATATATATATATAAAGAGAAGATTTTACCGATTAATCAATTAGAATACTTAGTATTATATCAGGTATAATTGATTTCTTAGCACTTACTGTTGAAGATCTACTGATCTGATACCAGGAAATAAGCCCTGAATGGGCTGCTTTTGGTTAGATTTGGATATCAGTAGCCAAATCAAAAGACAGATCAAAGGTGGGTTAAGAATTTTGACTAGGTTCTTCAATAGAATTTCTCCTTAATATGTATTTTTTAAGTATTTAAATTTCAATTTTTGCTTTATTTTTCCTAAAATGAAGAATAATTCTAAAGCAATTTAGAAAACCGTGTTGATAAATTTTAATATTCTCTTCCAGAACAGAGGAGTCTGTTTTCTCCAAAGGATTGGTAAGATTTGTTTGCACCTATTATAATTTAAATACATAGTCATGTTAACAAATACAGCTGTTGACTTTACCATATATGTATCTCTGTGTATATTTTCATCTGTAGTATCTGTTGGAGAATGGTTTATTGAGAATAGAGGACAACAGTCTACTTCACCAGTACTTAGAAATCAAGAGTTTTCTTACTGTACCTCAGGTAAGTAAAATATGTATTCTAATCTTGAAATAAGCCCCTTTCCTATTCTGAACTTAAGTAAAGGTCTTTTCAGACTCCTCTCCCACTTTCTTCTCCATATCCTTTGAAAACTCTAGTGCCTTGCCGTCCAATAGAACTTTTTGTGATAGTAAAATTGTCCTATTATCTGTGCCATACAGTTTGAAAGCCACTAGCCACATTGAACACTTGAGATGTTTACTTGAAATGTGGAACTGAATTCTAAATTTTATTTAATTTAAATTAATTTAAACTTAAATAGCTGTATGTGGCTAGTGGCTACTATAGTTGACAGCATAGCATCTAGTGGAAAAATATAACTTGCGTCCTCAACACTTTGGTTCTGTAGAAACCCTGGAAAATGAAGCTCCTTTACTTTTTTTTTTTTTGTGGTACGCGGGCCTCTCACTGTTGTGGACTCTCCCGCCGCGGAGCACAGGCTCTGGACACGCAGTCTCAGCGGCCATGGCTCACGGGCCCAGCCGCTCCGCAGCATGTGGGATCCTCCCAGACCGGGGCACGAACCTGCGTCCCCTGCATAGGCAGGCGGACTCTCAACCACTGCGCCACCAGGGAAGCCCTCCTTTACTTTTATCATAACTCAAGTCCTCAGAACTCCATCAAGGCGTGTATAACTCATTACTACAAAGACATTTTTTTTTCCCTCCTGTGATTTATTTTGCCTGTTTATTAGTTATACTGTTTGTTAGTTATCATAGCCAAGTAGGTCTTACCTTAGATGTCAATGTAGAAAATTATTTTTCCACTATTTAAATAGAAAAATATGGCTTTTGTTAGTATAATAAGCCTGATTATTTTAAATTAATGGATTATATTTCTGTATGTTCGGTTTCATTTTTTTTGCCACTCTAGACATAATTGAAAATTGCTTCTAACGATATACTTTGTAACACCCACTCAATAGCACTTACAAAATGGATTGTACTAAGCTCCCTGTAGACAAAACAGTAGAATGAAAGGCTCAGGGAAAAATTTACTTCATCTTTAAATCTCTTGCCCTCATTTCTCTGAATTTTTAGTGTCCATTGATAATATAGTTGTTTCTTTGTAGTCAATATAATCTAACGTTTGAATTAAAATTTTTTTAATTTCCAGGGCTTAGTCAAAGTAATGACACTCTGCCCCACTGAGACACTGGTATGTAAATGTCTGGAACTAAATGAGTTACAGTGAGAAATTTTAATAAATAATCTTTAGTTTATATAACAATATTATTTGTTCCATTTTAGAGGAAAAAGGGTTTAGCTATGCTTCAGCTGTATATTAACAAGTTGGATCCACAAGGCAAATATACTTTATTTAGGTATGTATCAATGGTTAATTGCGAAATGTGTGGTTGATTAAAAACCAAATTAATGCCATTAATTATTCTAGGTTACTGTATTTCGGTATGTTTTACATGTAATTCTTCTCTACTTGGAAGCCATATCATAATAAATTCTCTTCTCTGTGATAGGTAGTGAAGGGTTAATCAAAAATTATGGATACATATATATATATTACATGAATAATAGTATATATTTCAGTTTAATTGAAATACTCTAAAATTAAAATAGACTTAGAAGATTAAACTGAGATTGGTGGGGCTCCGGCTAGAGCTTTACATATGTCAATTATGTCCATTATTCACAGTTGAAATTAATGGCTCTGGAGTTATAACTTTTTTTTTTTTTTGGCGGGCCTCTCTCTGCTGTGGCCTCTCCCGCTGCGGAGCACAGGCTCCAGACGTGCAGGCTCAGTGGCCATGGCTCACGGGCCCAGCCGCTCCACGGCATGTGGGATCCTCCTGGACCGGGGCAGGAACCCGTGTGCCCTGCATCGGCAGGCAGACTCTCAACCACAGCGCCACCAGGGAAGCCCTGAAGTTATAACTTTTGACAGGCTATATACACTTTAACAGTGGAGCTTATTAATAGTACTGTTTGAGGAGGAAAAGATTCTAGCAACTCTCTGAGTTGAAGATCAGCAAACTTTTTTAAAGGGCCATAAGTAAGTATAGTCTTTGTGGGCCACACGGTCTCTGTTGCAGCTGCTCAACTTTGTAGTGGGGGTAAGTGTGTTCCAATAAAACAAAACAGGCAGTAGGCTGGATTTGGCCTGCAGACCTTAGTTTGTTGATACCTAGGTAATAAAAATGAGTTAAAACCAAATTGGGGCAATGTCAGAGTGCTAAGGAGTGTTCTTTGGGATTGGCCAATACTAGCACTCTTGATTTTATCTTTTTTTCATTTCTATTGATAGAGTCATAGCAGGTTTATGAAACCTCAGTTTGATGCTTATGTCTTCTGCCAGCTTCCTATTCTGATCTACCTGTATTCCTACCCCAAAATCTCCCCCTTCTTCTTAAGCTCATTACTGAGTTTCCTTTCTTTGCAATTAAGTTAGTCTAACCAGACTAGTCTAACAGGGAATACTTTGGGGAGTTTTTAGGCTATTACACTAGTGACCATCCTTGCCATGTTAAATCATTGCAACTATATGCATAAAAAGATTCAAATTTGGTTTAATAGAAATTTCGTGTCAGAAAGACCCAGTTAAAATAGAATTTGCCAGTTAGTGAGGGCAGAAATCATAATAGGTGACTTTGTAATTGGTTGATCACCTTGCTAATTGTATGCACTGGTTTTTATATTCCTAGAAATAGCACATGCCCCATTTGAATTTGTAAAACTTTCATTATCATTTAATTATAATGCAGCCTAGATAATTTCAAATGTATTGTAATTTTGCTTTAAAGGTGCTTATTGAATACAAGTAATCACTCAGGTGTGGAGGCCTTTATTATTCAAAATATCAAAAATCAAATTGACATGTCATTAAAGGTAAGAGCATAACTAAGGTGTCATTTATCAATTTATTTTGTAGGATATATTTATTCATTTGTGGAATTTATTAATGTGGAATTTTGCTCTGTGGACGTTTTATATCTCTAGTATTAGGGTACAGGCATACCTCAGAGATAGTGTGGGTTTAGTTCCAGACCACCATGATAAAGCAAAATTCTCAGTAAAGCAAGTCACACAAATTTTTTGGTTTCCCCAGTGCATATCAAACTTAATTACACTATATTTTAGTCTGTTAAGTGCAATATTATATCTATAAAAAACAATGTACATACCTTAATTTTACAATACTTTATTTCTAAAAAATGCTAACCATCATCTGAGCTTTCAGTGACTTGTAATCTTTTTGCTGGTGGAGGGTCTTGCCTCAATGTTGACGGCAGCTGACTGATCAAGGCGGTGGTTGCTGAAGGTTGGGATGTCTGAGGCAATTTCTTAACATGAGACAACAATGAAGATTGCCACACAGATTGACTCTTCCTTTCATGAATGATTTCTGTGTGACATGCAATGTTGTTTGACAGCATTTTACCTACAGTAGAACTTCTTTGAAAATTGGAGTCAATCCTTTCAAACTCTGCCACCGCTGTATCAACTAAGTTTATGTAATATTCTAAATCCTTTGTTGTTATTTCAACAGTCTTCATAGCATCTTCACCAGGAGTCCATTCCGTGTCAAGAAACAATTTTCTTTGCCCACCCATGAGAAGCAACTCTTCATCCGTTCAGATTTTATCATTGAGATTGCAGCAATTCAGTCACATCTTCAGGCTCCACTTCTAATTCTAGTTCTCTTGCTATTTCCACCACATTTGTAGTTACTTCCTCCACTGAAGTCTTGAACTCTTCCTAGTCATCTTTGAGGGTTGGAATCAACTTCTTCCAAACTCCTGTGAAGGTTGATATTTTGACCTTTTCCCCATGAATCAGGAATGATTCCGGAAGGTTTTCAATTTGCTCTGTGCAGATCCATCAGATGAATCACTGTCTATGGCAGCTATAGCTTTATGAAATGTATTTCTTAAAGAATAAGACTTTAAAGTTGAAATTGAAATTACTCCTTTTTCCATGGGCTGCAGAATGGATACTGTGTTGGCAGGCGTGGAGACAACATTAATCTCATTTTACATCTCCATTAGAGCTTTTGGGGGATGAGGTACATTGTCAGTGAGCAGTAATATTTTGAAAGTAGTCTTTTTTTCTGAGCAGTAGGTCTCAACAGTAGGGTTAAGATATTCAGTAAACCATGTTATAAACATATGCGCTGTCATCAAGGTTTTGTTGTTCCATTTATATAGCACAGGCAGAGTAGATTTGGCATGATTCTTACAGGCCCTAGAATTTTTGGAATGGTAAAGTTTAAGCATTGGCTTCAACTTCAAGCCACCAGCTGTATTACTCTGAGAGTCAGCCTGTCCTTTGAAGCTTTGAAGTCAGGAATTTTCTCCTCTAGCTGTGAAAGCCTAGATGGCATCTTGTTTCAGTGTAAGACTGTTTTCATCTACATTGAAAGTCTTTTGGTTAGTATAGCTACCTTCATTAATTACCTTAGCTAGATTTTCTGGATAACTTACTGCAGCTTCTATGTCAGCACTTGCTGCTTCACCTTGCACTTTTATGTTCTGGAGATGGCTGCTTTCCTTAAATCTCAAGAACCAACCTCTGCTAGCTTCAAGCATTTCTTCTGCAGCTTTCTCACCTCTCTTAGCCTTCATAAAATTGAAGAGTTAGGACCTTGCTCTGGATTACGTTTTGGCTTAATAGACTGTTGTGGCTGGTTTGATCTTCTATCCAGACCACTAAAACTGTCTCCGTATCAGCAATAAGGCTGTTTCACTTTCTTATCATTCATGTGTTCACTGGAGCAGCACTTTTAATTTCCTTCAAGAACTTTTCCTTTGCCTTCACAGCTTGGCTTAACTGTTTGGCACAAGAGGCCTATCTCGGCCTTCGACATGCTTCCTCACTAAGCTTAATCATTTCTAGCTTTTGATAAATGAGACATATATGACTCTTCCTTTCACTTGAATACTTTGTAGGGTTATTAATTGGCCTAATTTCAATATTGTTGTGTCTCAGGGAATAGGGAGGCCCGAGGAGAAGGAGAGAGATGGGGGAATGGCCAGTCATTGGAGCAGTTGGAACACACACACAGCACGTTTTGATTAAGTTCATCGTCTTATATGAGCGTGGTTCATGGTGCCCCAAAGGAGTTAACGATTGTAACATCAGAGATCACTGATTACAGATCACCATGACAAATATATATTAATGAAAGTTTGAAAATTTTGAGAATTATCAAAATGTGACACAGATGTGAAGTGAGTAAATGCTGTTGGAAAAATGGTGCTGATAGAGTTGCTTGACACAGAGTTGCCATAAACCTTCAATATGTAAAAAATGCAGTAAAGGGAAGTGCAGTAAAATGAGGTATGCCGGTATATTTTTTTCTCCATTTCTACTCTTTTTTAAAAACCTGGATTTTGAAATTTGTTAACTATAGATTTAAATTGTATTAATTTTTAAAACTGATAATATGACTTTTTTGTTTTGCTGTATACTTGTGAAATGTTAATGGAAACTCAAGTCTATTTGTGAATATTCAGTAATTCCATATAGAGAACAGAGAAAGAGCACACCAGTGCTTTCAAACTAGCAGAGTTTGTTCTAGGTGTCCAGAAATAGTGAATGAAAGAATGGAAATTAAAGTTAAAAATATATATTTTAAATGTGTAATAGCTTATTTTTGTAGTATCAAGGTATTAGAAAAACACATATATCTAACAACCTATTATTTAAAGCCTTTCTCAATTTTTCTTTTGCTTCTCAGAGAACATATAACAAATGGTTTACAGGACCGCAGCTGATTTCCCTTCTAGATTTGGTACTTTTTCTCCCAGAGGGTGCTGAAACAGATCTACTGCAAAACTCAGATAGGTGAGGTGACCATTACTAAGGTTCACGTAGTAAATTCAGAATAAAATGTGAAACCCCTGCTTTGGGAACCTAAACGAAAATAAAACGTATTTTTCTGTGATTTTATAATCAATGGTTAGTTCATCAAATTACATAAAGATTTTCATATATTTAAGTAATTAGATATTATATAAAAACAAAATCAAAAATTCTCCTTTCCAGAACTATGACTAACAGTATGATTTTGTACCTTTGATGTACCTAGCTCATAGAGATTTGGGACTATAGCACTGGTGACTAAACACTAAGAATTTCGTGTATATAACTTATAAAAGGCTTATACATTTGGATTTTATTTCGAGGACACACATCAATTTTTTTCATATACAACATGTAATTTTACTTTCAGTATACTCGAATGAACGTTGAGAAATGGTTGTAAGCATTTTTCAAAGGAATCTTAAAATTCAGGAAACAAAAGACAGTACTCTCGAACATTAAAGATAACAAGTCTCCCTTGGGGGAAAAACAAATAGTAATTTGCACAATTATATTTTGTGAACTTGGAGAACAAAAGTAATACGTTATGTTAAGGGGGTGAGATGTGTGATAAGATATTTTAGCAGTCCATCGCCTCAACCACTTGGCCACCTTGTCATTTGCTGATAAGGTATTTTAAAGGGAGAAGCTTCTAATGGCAAACATAATTGTGGAAATATACCCAAGGTTTTAACTTACCTTTATTCATTGAAATTGTTGATTATATGAAACTGTACTGTATGTAACAAATTATATATTTTTAATTAACAGGATAATGGCTTCATTAAACTTACTGAGGTATTTGGTTATCAAAGATAATGAAAATGACAATCAAGTAAGTGAATTTTTTGAAAAAAACTATTATTCAAATGCATAAGGAGCATTTTGTATTTTCTTATCAATACCTACTTAAGCCATAATTAATATTTTACCCAGCTGTAAAGCTCCGACAAGTGCCAACAATTATTCTTTCAACTTGAAGTTAATTCCCAGGAGCGCTTACCACCCCACATCCAGCTTTCCCTTTTCTTTTCCTGTTGTACCTCTGCTCTCTTGCTATAAACATTGCTTAACCTTGTTAGGTAGATAAGTTGCAGCTCCTAACTTAACTAACCTTTTGAAACTCAACATATATTTGCGTATCTTGTTCATTAACCGCCATCTATTGCTCATGATTTAAGTCTGAGCTATATAAAATAAAATCATCTGATCATTTGATATCCCCTCATCAGAAATGACAAATTGAAGCATTTTCAGCACTAAATCCATTAACAGCACCTTTTGAATAATGTGTAGGCAGTTGAAATTTTTTAAAATAGTGCACCATTAGAGGTATTCAATAAATAGAAAACTATTTGAGGGAGATTTATCATACAGTAAAATTACATTTGCTTTTTATCTTCTCTTTCTACCTACTCTATTTTTTTTTTTGGCTGCATTTGGTCTTCGTTGCTGCGCTTGGGCTTTCTCTAATTGCGGAGAGTGGGCAGGCGGGCTTCTCTTGTTGTGGAGTACAGGTTGTAGGTGCTCGGGCTTCAGTAGTTGTGGCTCTCGGGCTCTAGAGTACAGGCTCAGTAGTTGTGGCGCATGGGCTTAGTTGCTCCGCGGCATGTGGGATCTTCCTGGACCAGGGTTCAAACCCGTGTCCCCTGCATTGGCAGGCCGATTCTTAACCACTGTGCCACCAGGGAAGTCTCTACCTACTTTATTCTAATAGTTGCTTTTTGTGTATGTGTCATCTTATTAACTGTAACTACCTGGATTACATGCGTGGTTAAACTTTTTAGAAAGTAATAAATGAAACGCAAGTAATTGATTTTTATATAAGAATGCCAGAGGGTTTTTTTTTTCTTTTTTAATTTAAGTAAATCATAATTTGGGATCAAAAGTTTATGGAAAAAGTAGTAGTTTCCTTCCCTCAAACATAAAGCCAAGTTGAAAGAATTTTACAATGATCACTGATTTACCCACCACCAAGATTCTACCGTTAACATTTTACTCTGCTTTTATCACTTATCCATCTCTCCACCCTCTATCCATCCATTAGTCTCTTATTTTTTGATGCATTTCAAGGTAAACTGCAAACATCAGCATACTTTACCGTAAATATTTCAGCATGTATTTCATTAAGAAGAGTTAAATATTTGTCTATAGTTTTTCTTTGAGTTAAGTTTACATAAAATGAAATGCCCAAATTTTAATTGTACATTCACTGAGGTTTAACAAATGCTTAGATCTGTTATCCAAATCCTTACCAAATATAGAACATTACTATCATCACAAAAAGTTCCCTTTTTTCCTCTCAGTTAATTCTGACGTCATCATTCCACACCCATCCCTAGCCCCTGCCAGTGGCAGCTGGCAGCTCTATTCTGGCCAGGTGCTATCATTTATTCTCCCCACCCCCCCCCACGGTACTCAGGCCTCTCACTGTTGTGGCCTCTCCCGTTGTGGAGCATAGGCTCCAAACACGCAGGCTCAGCGGCCATGGCTCACGGGCCCAGCCTCTCTGCGGCATATGGGTTCTTCTCGGACTGTGGCACGAACCCGTGTCCCCTGCAGCTGCGGGCGGACTCTCAACCACTGCGCCACCAGGGAAACCCTATCATTTATTCTTCACTATGCTATAAGTGCTCTTTAGTTTTAATTTTTCATAGACAGTGTTAGCACAGGAAGGATCTTTAACTTGCACAAGGGCATATACCTAGTAAGTGGCAGAAATAGCTATGACCCCAGGCAGTGACCAGAACCTTTGAATCACAAACTAAATCCTGACTCCTTTTTTGTGATAAAAAGAGAAAGATAACAAGTAAATTCAGTGGCAGTGGAAGCCCTGAGGCTTCAGGAAGATGTCCTTAGAGTATGGTGTGAGTTTTTACTTTCATCAGGATGAAGCCATACCTAGAAATGATCTGATTTGCCTGACAGGACGAAAATGAATCTTTTTGAATCTTTTTGATTAAGAGTGAGCACAGTGTACTACAGGGGCAGCAAACGGGCCTCTGCCTAGAGAGGGAAGGCAAAGCGTTTTAGCATTGTGCAATGTCTACTATGATATCCACAGATAATGCCTCACATTTATTTGGCTTGAACATTGTACAGTGAAGAAAAGGATACAACCAGCTTATAAGATTGCTTTCTTATTTAATGGTTTTTAAAATTTTTTCTTAGGGATCAAATATTCCATAGTATTGCCATGCAAGTTACTGTAAGAATTATCATACCAAGGAAATTGGCCAAAAAATCAGTCCAAGATGGCAACCTAACATCTTTGAGGCAGCTTGTTCATCATGGAAGCATTTCTTCCAAGTGCAGTCACAGTAGGTCATGTATATAAATGAGAGGCAAATCTGTCTGCTGTGGTTAATCAAAAAATAAGAGCCTTCTGAGTTTTAGAAATTGTGATTAAAGGAGAAACAAAATGATACTCTAGTGATGCTGAATTGTGGGTAGTTTTATTCAAAAGGATTCCTACCAGTACCTATTTTTGAGCAGTTAAGTGTGCTGAGGTGGTAACTAGTCAGATGAAAAGCTGAAAAGCCATCAGAAAGGTGTATAGAAAAATTAAATAAGAACAGAATCATTAAAATACAAAAAATGATTCATAATTGAATAATAATCCATTTCTTTCCCTGCTATATTGGGTTACTGTCAACTGACTTATTCTTTTCATAAATCATTCCCCTCCTTACCTTACTATTTCATGTCTCTTAATCTCTTTGCATAAGTTGAAGGCACTTTCTCCCACACTTCAGTTTGACAGAACTTCTTGGACCTTGAACCTCCATCTATCTGTACTGATAAAACCAACTTAATTTTTAGACCTAGTGTTCCCTACTATTTGGTAGGTATCTTTAAGTAAGTGTTAATTGTTTAATTATAGTAATTTATTCTGATACATAGGCCATAATAATTTATCCCTCACCTTCTGTCCCATCTGCTCATATCCTTTCCTGTCCACCTGCTTACCTATTCTTTTCCTAAATAATTTGTGATTGTAATATGTAGAATGGGAGCAGGGTCAAGGGAAGCAATGGAAGATTGTAAAGGCCAGAAGTATGTATCAGGAATTTTTAAAAATTGAATTATGTAATGTATGCACATATGCTTTTCATTTAGGAAAACACAACAAATATCTGGCATACAAACACATACTTATAGTTCTATATAATCCACATTTTACGTTCTCATTTAAATTGTTTCTTTCTCCAAGATTAAAACATATCCCTTGTGTGTTATTTGCAGATCCAAATGACTTAAGGTTATGCACATTCCTTAATATTACAAGTGATAGAAGTTCTACAATATTACTTCATAAATAAGAAGTGATACACAAATTAGAAAAGGGAAAACTGGGTCTTATTCATTTCCTTCTTTTTATTTCTTCATTATCATGGTTGACTGTGTCCTTTGCAAGGTCCCTGTCTGTTCTGGCAATAAATTTCATTGTGGTATAAAACTGCGTTCTCTCTTTTGTGAGAGAGGCTGCAGTGAAATTTGAAATGTATAGTTAAGCTCTAGAACTGAAAAGATCTCAGAACTACTCCACCAGTGAGTTACTTGGGTATAAAATTTTAAAGTAATCATTTGTGAACATTTCAAATTTTTATCCTTAGTACTATTTTTTAACATCTTGTTACTTTCTAGACACTGAAGATAAAACAAATGTTAAGATGATTTTATGGGCTTCCCTGGTGGCGCAGTGGTTGAGAGTCCACCTGCCGATGCAGGGGACGCGGGTTCGTGCCCGGGTCCAGGGTCCCACATGCCGCGGAGCTGCTGGGCCCGTGAGTCATGGCCGCTGAGCCTGTGTGTCCGGAGCCTGTGCTCTGCAATGAGAGGCCCGCGTACCGCAAAAAAAAAAAAAGATGATTTTCTTCGTAGTGTTTTTTTTTTTTTTTTAAAGATCTAGTAATCTTAATGTAGGAGAGAGAAAATATTCTTATTTCCATAGCTTCTTCACTCCTACATGCTTCTAAAAATATTACTGTTGTTCATCACATGAAAAATTTGTGGAATTATGCTGAACAGAATGTGCACAAATTTTCTTTAGCCTAATTTTGGCACATTTTATTACCTTATTGTAAGTTTTAGATTATGGTCTGTGTATTAAATTATTGCCATTAAGAACAACTAAAGTCTTAATAAAGACCTCCTAGTGTTACACTGTCCAATAGACAGTAGCCACATGTGACTATTTAAATTTTATTTTTTTAAAATGTTTAATTAAAAATTCAGTGCCTTCTTGGCATTGGACAGGGTCATTCTAGATTATTGTTTCTCAGCATATGGTCCTAATCAAAATCAGCTGGGTATCTTATATAATTCGATTTGTAAAAATTCTTGATACATACTTGTTTAGATTGATTTTTAAAATGCATGAAGACATAATATGTTAATTAAAAAGGAAGTATAAATACAGCACAGATTGAAAAACAGGAAGAAAATTACATGAAAACATACCAGTAAATTTGGAAACTTCAATAAAATAGAATTTGTTAGAAAATATAATCTAACAAAACTGCCACAATCTACTAAGAGAAATCACAAGGTCAGATAATTTTTACCATAATTTCAAGAAACAGATACTCAAGTCTTATATAAAATGTTCAAAAGACTAGAAAAAGAATAGTTGTGCTTAATGTTATGCATCTGTTTAGTAAGATATAACCTTAATACCAAAACAGACTAGGATAGTATGCTGAAGTAAAGTTACAGGCTCATCTCACTTATGAATATAGATACTAATATTACCAAACCAGATCTAGCAAAAAAAATTTTTTTAAGTCATTGGACTAAGTTGGTTTTATTCTAGTAATGCGAGGTAATGTAATT